CGTTTTGAAAGGGACCGTATTTCTCAGGCTAAACTCATCATGAAGCCGTTTATCCTCAGAAGAGTCAAGAGTGAGGTGAGTTGATCTGGCAAAATAGCAAATTTGTAAATATTATGTGTTTCAATTATGTTCTAAATGGAAAGCTGGCATTAAAATCTCCCTCTTTTGTGCAACATTTATCATATTTAGTTTTTGCTCAGCCTAAATGTTTTCATTCTGAGGTTATTTATTTGGTTTTTGCATCAGACTGTGTTAAAACTAATATTAATTGAATCCAATGATTTGGTTCTAATTATAAGTTATAATTCGGCGACAAAATATACATTTTGCAGCATTTGTTTCTTATTTCGACCAAAGCGCACATGCAGAAACAATAGATTTCCTTGGGCAGCACCACTGGTTTAATAGTGACAATAACAAGATCATCATTAGTTAAAACCCTGTGTAAGTATTGTGAATAATTAACAGTCTTTCCTATTCCAGGTCCTCAAGCAGTTGCCAGCAAAGGAAGAGATGGTAAAGTTCTGCTCAATGAGTGAGAAACAGCAGGTTCTCTACCAGGCCCTCTTTGAAAAACTCAGGTCTTCCACCAACGGCGAGAGTAAGCCTCATTTAAATGGCTGCACTAACTACTCCCTATTGTCACTGCATTATTTTTGTACAAATAATGAAATGAATTTGTGGTAAGTAATTTGTCATTGCCTTTTCTCTGCAGAGCGTGAGTTGTGTAATGTGATGATGCAGCTGAGGAAGATGGCAAACCATCCACTGCTTCATAGACAGTACTACACCACAGAGAAGCTCAAAGCCATGAGCAAACTCATGCTCAAGGTCAGTCCTACTCCCTGACTGTCTGTTGTCATTTTTGCTCTGTGTAACTAACGCATATTCACTCTAACAGCATTAGTGCCAACTTTGGTCCAACACAAAAAGGCTTTGTTAACATTATACTGTATTCTGCAGAAGCTCTCAGAGACAAATGATTTTTCTGTTTGTCTCTAATTTTTTTCTCCTGGTTCTCGGGGCTTTGGCAGTTGAAATAAAACTTCACAGCCTCTTGTGGATGAAATGAGTATTACAAAAACAATGCTTCTCCACGACCCCCCCCCCCCCCCCTTTTTTTTTTTTTTTTTTTATTACTCTGTTACTTTTTTGGGTTATTTCTCTTCTCCCTCAAGTTAAATGTTTCTATATTTCCATCCTTAGGAGCCAACTCACTTTGATGCAGATGCTGCTCTGATCCAGGAGGACATGGAAGTGATGTCTGACTTTGAGCTACATCGTCTGTGCCAGCAGTACTCCTCCATCAGCTCATACCAGCTTGAAAACAATCTCCTGCTTGACTCTGGGAAATTCCACTACCTCACAGAACTGCTGGCCTCTCTTAGAAACAAGGTATATACAGATGTGCAGAATCATGTCTGTGGTTCATGTAGGAGTAGCGCACACTGCATGGGCAAAGGAGTAAAAGATAATTTAGCATAACTTTTCTTTAATCCCACAGGGAGACAGAGTGGTATTATTCAGTCAGTTCACTATGATGCTGGACATTGTGGAAGTGCTGCTGAAACATCTCAAGTATCGTTACGTGAGACTGGATGGATCTACGCCCATAGCCGACAGGTCAGAGTTGTGTCAGATTCAGTATACTGAAGTCGGATCGACTGTAGCCAATAATTCATATTTATTAATTCAAAATCTTGTAAAAAGGTATTTATCACCTGTACGTCAAACAGCATAAATTATCCTTATTACACATCATCCTTTGTAATGGGACTATTGCACATGCATACATTACATTCATAAAATTATATTAGTTGTTATATAGTTATGTATTAGTTAACCCTAGAGTTTAGCATGTTACTTTGGGGTGAAAATTTCTATGTCACATTGAGAAAAAATGTTCAACTTTGTCAGCATACTGTAAATTATGTCACATGTAATGTCTAAAATTAATTTCTTTGTCCTGCAGGATTGTGTTGATTGATGAGTTCAACACGGACCCTGACATATTTGTGTTCTTGTTGTCGACACGAGCTGGTGGGCTGGGCATCAACCTCACCTCAGCTAATGTTGTCATTCTACATGACATTGACTGCAATCCCTACAATGACAAACAGGCAGAGGACAGGTGTCACCGTGTAGGCCAGACCAAGTAAGATGAAATCTGTTACTAATACTCTTAAGTTTTACCTGATGAGGTCTTGTGATTGCATTTCCGTCTTATTTATCAATTACATAGTTTTATGTGTTTTTTTACCGTAGAGACTAATGTATGTAACATTGCTGTGTGTCAGGACTGTAAAGGTGATTAAGCTGATTAGTAAGGACAGCATTGAGGACTGTATACTGCAGTTGGGCCAGAAGAAGCTGAAGCTGGAGCAGGACATGACTGCCGCTGAACAGGGTGAGGAGATGTATACACACACATATATTTTCTCAAATGCATGCACACCCTGCCCAATAATCACAGTATATTAAGTTCAAAGGTTGGTTACCTTCCAAGTAATTAAGTTACAGGATCATTGCATTGATATCACAAAAAATATTGAATGCTCTATGCAAACTATAAAATTGAAGATAATAATATTGAAAATGAAAGTGTGCGCAATGCATATTTGTGTGTTCTTTAATAGAGCACAGTGAATACGCACATAGTTCTTTGAAATAGATGGGGAGTAGTTACTTCTCCAGTAGCAGCCTTGTGTACATCATGAACACATGAATGATAAATATGTGATAAGTGAGGAATAAACACTTCCAACCTTGCTCTGCTACTTCCAGCTCTGTTAATGAGGGTTAACCACCTCTTCAGGCCTATTTTTAAGGATTTCCTACATTTTAAACCCTGCAGAGAGCAAAAATGAAACATTTCAATATTTGTTGGTGAAAGTCTCATAAATCGCTTTCTAAAAATGAAAAGGTATAAAAATGTAAAAGAAGCATAGTTGATTCAGTACATCCACATATAAAATGTGATGAGGTTTATTTCACACACCAGTGTGAACAAAGTATTTCTCGGTTAACTACACAAAGCTTTTGATAATTAAACATGTAGAGCATTATTATTACAGAAGATTCAAATGTTTTAATTACTATACAACTGTTCAGAGGGTCTCCAAGATTACTGTCACGTTTGTTTCCGGGGCCACATACAGGCAGTAGGTCCAACACTTGAGGGATTGTTGTGGCATGTATTTTAGCCATATCTTGAGGCATGCAGAGTTAAAATTAGTTTACTTGCATTTACCCTAATCTTCTTAATTACAATTACATTACAAATGAAAAACATAAAGCATTGTTTGTTCTTTAGGTGGTGAGGGAACCATACCTGAAGATATGGCATCTTTGCTCAAAGCTTCACTGGGAATGTGATACACAGACTCAAGAAACTGTACAAATACATTTTCGATGGCATTCCTGTGATCCTGGGCAGACTTCAGTGTTCTGACTGAACAAACCACTTTTGCGTCTACACCAGAAAACTACTGAGAACCATATGCTGCCACGAAAGAACGTTGTGATATTGAGATCTGATTGACTGTGTAGCTAGCTGTGCCTAAAACACTATTTTTACATGCACACAGTCCTTGCTCTTACTTTGTCTATGAGGCCAGTATATAAAGGCTAAACAAAAACGTTGCCCTTTAAATATTATGCACTCCACACGTTACGCAGAGATTCCGAGCTGTAGAAACTTGAAAGAATGCGGTGTTAAGAAGTTCAGTCCAAACCGTTATTAATGCAGCATGTGTTGGAGTACACCATCAAACTTGTGATTCTCTGAATATTATGACTGAAAGTATCAAAGTTTAGGTTCACATAACCTATGTGATGTGAATGACGCCTTGTATTATTTACATTTAGATATGTGTACGGTATGCTGGTAAGGACAGTGAGAATGCTGATAAAATATTCAAAATTGTTGTATGGGTATTGTGATTACATACTGAAATAGGTGGTGCACGGAGAATAGTAGATTTTCTTTTGCCATTCTTCCTACCAGACAGTGTCACATCTGGCCTGTCATACTTGCCAGTTTTTCTAAAAAAAAAAAAAATATTTGTTTACATCCAAATATTTTTTACTGCTGCGATCCTCAGCGCTATTTGAACAGCAGCAAGCAGAGCAACTATACTGAAAATGTTACCATTCACATTGATTTCCATAGCTGCCGTTCCTGATCAGTTGCAGTTACATCAAAAATTCAGCCAAGTATCTGGAAGATGATATTCTCTGTCACTGGTAGTGTAGCGTGTTGATTTTCATCCTGATGTCATATGTAAAAGGCTAACACTGTTACCATCAGTGACATTTTTTAGCAGAGATAAATTCAAAATATAACATAGAATGACTTACATAAATATGGTGCTTGAATTGGTTTTTTTTGCTGTTTTTCCTTTTTTAAATATCTTGAGCCAGGTGACAGAAGATGATGGTTTGAGGAAGCAGCTGCTGCATTCATGTACTTTATAAGTGGCTAATGTGTTGTCAGTGTACAAGTGTTAACTGTAAAAGCTTTTACTAGGTCATTTGTATGTTTTTTAGGTTCCCGTTTGAACTGAATAATAAATATTGGAATAAATGTTTGTGTGGTCATGCCTACAGGGGTTCAGCAAGAGGATCCACCAATAGGTTCATGTATTAATTATGATTATTAATTATGATAGACTTAAACCTTTCTAACGCCAGGTATGGCAACAAGGTCTGTTTTATAAATTTCAAATGGGTTTTGACTGAAATGGAATGAAATTTGTAAAAAAAATAAATAAATAAAATAAAAAAAGTCTAATATCAAAAGTAAATGAATTATAGATAAACTAAACATGCAAATCTGGCAATCTTGAATAGCTAAATGGTTACTGTGTATGGCATACAATACAGCTAGCACTTTGAGGAAATTAGTGTGTGTTTGGCCTTGAGGTTATCAATGCATGTTCAATATATGTCATTGCATCAGACTCAAGGTTACTTACAAAGGTAACTGGCAGTGTCCTCAATCAAAATCTTTTTATTTTCGTATGTACAGTGGATGCACAAAGACAATAATTTGGTTCTTTAAAAGAGAGATATTACAAGACATTTACATAGAAGATGACTAACAACTGCTATTTTTCTATTCTAATGATGGTGTGTCCTTTTCCCAGCTAAAATGAAAGAGAAATGAGTTTACTAGTAGTTAAAAATTGTGACACTCAACTTATCAAGAAAATACTAAAATTTATATTAAAACATTGTGATCTAATAATCTACTCAGCATTGGGTGAGTATCTTCCACACTTGAAGCCTGTCAAGTGAGCATCACATTTTATGGTGTAGGTGAAGTAGAGAACTCCTTTGCTGAGCTGACAGCTTAGAGAGTGAGTTCCTCGCTCGGGAAACACAACACATATCCCAGCTCTGTCATTATAGAGAACATCCCTGTCCCAGACTTCAAACCTCAACTCCTGACCCAGTTCAACTGAACCAAAATTGTAAGTGGCATTCCACACTGGGTCATTGTTGTCCATTACCGTCTCAGTCTCCTCGTACATGCCGTTGTAGAAGATTTTCACGTAGGCGTCTGTTTTTGTGAAGGTGTCAGCCCTCAGACCTGCCGCTCTGTGAATCTCCAGTCTGAGAGTTCCTCTGCCAGCTCTTAAAGGACAGCAGTTATGGTCCAGGTTGGGAGTTGGGGAACAGTTCTTTAAACCAGCCTGATCTGCCTGCAGCTGGTTCTCTTTAATATACTCGGTGACAATGCTTCTCAGATTAGCACTGATCTGTGAGTCCTCCACCAAATGATGCAGAGGGAAGATGGCGTAAGAAACAACATCAGGGTTGTTGTGGAGGCTGTTCATCCAGCTGTGGTACGCTTCAGATGGGTCCTGCTGGTAGAGGATGTCGGGGAAGTACCTCTCCCCTCCAATAACCTCAATCCTATGGGTCATGAAGCCTTGGTAGAAGCCCATGCTCATATTGCCCTTCAGGACGTGGTCACACTTGTTGGAGAAGGATACGTTAGCGGGGAGGAAACCCAGAGCCATTCGGAGTTCCACATTCAGGCAGTTTTTGATCTCAGACTCAGAGAAACCCTTCAGTGTGGCCAGGCAGGTCCTAAAGGCAGTGACTCGCTTCACCTTACCACCAAGCTGGACCTAGGAAACGCAAACAAATGATTAAATGAATGTTTAAAGCTCCCCAGTAACTCCGTGTCATGAGCTTCAGCATTATTCTGCACTTGTTAAAACATTCGTATATCAAAAAGACATTCTGTATCGTAAAAGGCATGAAAAGAAGATCCTGTGTATCCAACACATTTCTCTGACCTGGTGTATGTAGTGTGTTCCATAGGTGTCTATCAGCCGTCTATACAGGGCTCTGCTCTGGCTTGTGTTCAAACTCTGTGGGAGTCTCTTCAGATGCTTTGTGAACTCTGCACTCAGCTGGGGATGATCAGCCAGCCTGTAGCTGAAAAAACAAAAGGCATGTGGTGTTCAACCAGGACACTGTGAGAATGTAATCTCAATTTATCTGTAACCTCTGACCTTAAGACATTGTAACTATGCTAAAAATGTGTTTCTTTTGTGTATCATTAGTTCCCTTTTACCTGTAGTAGGTGCAACTGATTTCATGGATGGCAAAAGTGGCTTTGTCCACGCTGTGCTGCGAACGAGCAAACTTTGCCATGTCTGAGCGGCTTCCTCCCAGCACTGCCTTGCCAATATTATCGAGGCTCAAACCCAGATCCCAGTTGTTATTAACCAGGGAGTTGGAGCTGCGCAGCAGGGAGTCCACAGAGTGGTGGAGGGCACTAGAAAGCTGCTTATTGCAGCGGCTGAAGGGACGCCAGTCGAGCACTGCTGCTGGGAGCCTCTGAACCTGAGAAGGATAAAAATGACAGGATGTACATGGGGATGCAGGTGCAGGAAGAAAATAGTTAAAGGAAGTGGAAAAAACAGAGCAGAAGGCACTCTGATGTGGATGGAAATAAGGGAAGGGAGTTTAGACTGAGTGAAGATGCCATAAAAAAGAGTAAGAGGAGAAGGCTGAGCAGCAAGTTTTCCAGCTTTCACCTGTCCATTTTGGAAGCGGTTTGGACACAGTGTGCAGGTGTGGTTGTCAGCCAGATGAGCTTTGACATTGATGACATATGCCCCTGTTCGACGCATCCGCACCACATCAAAACCCTCTCCTGCCAGGTTGTGGCCAGGGATAAAAGGAGCTTTCTCACACTCTGACCCAGATCCTGTCTGACAGCCCTGGACAGCGCAGACCTCCAACATTACTGGCAAAGCCAGTACAATCAGAATGAAGTTGCTCCGTCGATATCCTCCTGCTTTCATGGTTACCTAAATGTAACAGAGCACACTGAGGTTGAAAAAGTAGTCGCTAAAGTCTGGATTTTAATGATTGCTTTGTATAAGCACATTTTGCTATTAACCACTCCCTATAACATTTAGGGAGTGTCTCATATGAATCCCAGTTCCCAAAGTATTTTTCAAACTTGCTTTTCAAAAACATTTCCACAGGTTTACCATTGAGCAGACGTATAATAGGAGATGAATTATGTCTGTTACACAGTAAATGCAGATGAGCCTCTAATCCTCTGCTTTAAACTGGAGTAATCCTGCCACAGATGTTGTGTCAACATTAAAAACGTGCACAGCAGAGACATGCACTAAAAACAGCACATTATCAGAGGACATGGTACCCTTACCTTGGACTGTGTTTGTTTTATTGTCCTTCAGTTTGTGTCTTTGTCTTCCTTTTGGAGTTGTCAGGCTTTAGCTTTCTTCCCCTGCTAAAATGCCTCTCTTGATTTTAACGCTTCCTCCTCACCGAAGCCCATCGATGACACAGCTCACTGTGAATGATGAACTGCAAACTGGCTAAAGTCTTGATCCTGCTGGTATTGAGATCACGACTGAGAGAGCTTTGGCTTCACTGGCAGCCTATGCTGAATGCCTACTGGGCGCACTCTTTTGTCTGTCCTCCGCCTCATAAAACAGACCAAGGAGGGAGTTGCCCTGCTTCAGGGCTATGTATCTGTCTCTCTATCCCTCTTCCTCTCTCTCTCTTTCTCTCTCCCCTAAGGCCGTACCAATTTCCTCAGCATGAGTGGGTTTGTTTTCATGTTCAAGACCCAGCTTTATGAATCCCTCACAGCTGCGTGTTTGTGTGTGCACGTGCATGTGTGGGGGAGGGAGATATTTGTATAGTCACGAGAGAGAAGATGCACATTGCCCTGAGCGCTCTTCACGGGAAATGGATGTGTGTATGTACGTGCACATGAGTGTACAGTACATGTGCAAATGTCTGCTGGTGTTACTGTGTGTGTTTTTGTCTATACAGTGTCTGAGCCAGCCTGTCTGTGTACTGATAACCTTACGAAAACCATGAGGTCAGCTTCGCCATTGTCTATTTATGGATGCGGGTGGAATGTAAGTGGTTTTTGTCAGTGAGGTCAGGGAAGATAAAAGTGTTCTCTCTGTGCAAGAAGCTCCATTCAGCATGAGAGGGAGAAATGATTTGTTTTTCAACCCAGATTTGCTGTTAAATTTAGAGAACCAGTATGTGCTTTGGTGCCACGTTTACAGACTTATGCATGCCTATCTAGTGTGAGTTCACTTCAACTGGCGCCGCTGTGGGTTTGTATTAACACTAACACTATACTTAGCATATTTACACATTTAGAAATCTTATATACATAGCAAATCTTATACAGACCTTTTGACAGGCCAATTACATTGTGCAAGTGACCACTTACCAAGGTATTTTTTTTAGAAAATTTCAGACATTTCTGAAGTTTTACACGACCAGAGACATACCAGGCATAGGTACAATATAAAAATGAAGACACAGATCCGTGAAATTGTTTTAAATGTCTTTAATTAATACTTAAGCACACTGCAGAAGAGTTCAATTGACATACATTTAAGAAATACTGCACAAAAATAAATCTGACATCTAATGCTTCTTTTATTTAAAAAATATCTGTAAAAATATTCGTTGTTAATTTGTTTTTTGAATGATACATTCAAACAAAGTCATAAAAAGTATTCAAATTCTGTAATGGGGGATGAACATATTTGTATACTAAATGGCATTGTGCATCTTGGCCTCGTGGGGGCAGTATTGGTTCACGATGGCCTTTGGAAATCACTTCTGCTCTCTGTTTTCAGTTTGCCATAGGTAATCTCAAAGGCAGATTGCTCTAAAGTAATGTGTCCGATGATATTGTCTGAAGTTAGTAAATGCAAAAAGGCAAAGTTAACCAATGCTAAATAACAGCTTAAAGTGTATATCATGCTATCACACAAAAATGTCTAGTCAGTCAATCTATTAGAACTATTACATTTACTATCTTTTTACTTAAATGTGAAAATTTTCCACTCCCGTAAGACATGTAAAAGTGATATCTGAGGTGACAATCAACAGGAAATCTGAAAACAAAATCTGTCACATTAGATTAACCTGTTTCTGGGCGCCAAGCCTCGAATGTGTGTTTTTCTCAAGCCTCATCTTGCAGTGTCTCCGTCTCTCCTTCATCTTGCCCAACCTCTCCACGTATCTCCTCATAGCCTCTAGTCATTGTAAACCCAGACAGTCTTCTCCGTCTCTTCACCAGGAGTACTGTCCCGATGACGACCAGCACCATTATACCCATCACCCCAAAGGCTACGCCTGCCTTTTCTCCACCAGACATCTGGCTCAATTCTGGGTTAAGCTTGCGTGCAATTTCTTTGATTTCCTCTGGTTTTGCAAGTTTCCACATCTTGGTCTGCCCCACTCTAACCCAGCTCATTTCTCCTTCAGTCATCACAATTACAGTGTTGGTGACTTGCATGGTGACAAGTGGAGGTTTTGTGAAAGGAGGCAGATGGACTGGCAGCAGCTGCCCACCTGTGAACAGCCCTGACTGCACACAGTAAAGAATTTCACAGCCATCGCTCACCGTAGCAAGGTGCTGACTGAACTTTGGAGGGCAGCGACGTTGGCCTCTTGCCAGCGGGTTGCTTGACTGACAGCTGAAAAGGCCTCCGAATGGTACTGCGTATCTGGTGCCGGATTCATAGTCGTTACTCACACAGATCATTTGGCCATCCGACAGAAACTTGACTGAAATGAAGTTTTGTGGGCAGCTTTTGGCTCTGGTGAGGGGGTTCAGGAGAGAGGGGCTGTATATGCCTCCAAACAGATACCCTGTGTTGTCCGGGGCCTTTCCGTTTACAGAGCACCAGTAGGTGTTGATGCGGGCGGAGCGAACATGGTACATGTCCTGACAATCTGATTTATGACAAGTCTTCAACCACAAAAATCCACAGGCATAGGTTTGCTCATAACAATGGTGCACGTTGTAACCCTGCTGTCTCACTTCTGATCTCAGTAACGTTGGGGTGTAAGGTGAACGACAGGAGAACTCTCCTGTATCAGGGTTTTTCTGGGCCAGGGCATCACAAAGTGGACCTGCATCTGGGCTCAGTTGCACACACATTTGGTAGACACCACCGAAACTGAGGTTTGTAGCAGGGCCCTCACAGGAACTATCATCAACGTTGGCCTGGAAGTTAAAGTTCTTGGAGCCGATATCGACACAGCCAGGGCGGGTGTTGACCTTGTAGTAACGCTCTATGGCTTGATTCACTCTAAGAGCCACTTTGTCAACTGTAGGCTGTGGCAGATCAGAAATGGTGTTTGTGTTTATAAAGTAGTGAAGAGGAAATCCTGAGCGGTCAATAGCAACCAGGTTGTTTTTGGTACTTTCCTGCCACTTCTGCAGAGTGATGCCAGGATAGAAAGGTGTGCCGCCACCATGGCTTTGAATGAGAGAGTACTGAATGTTGGACTGATATGTTTGAAGTGATGAGCTTTTTTGGGTAGTTTGACTGCTTATATCGAACTTGAGTTTGTCAAAAAAGTTGAGGCCAGCCTGAGATGTGACAGAGGAACCTTGTGACGCACTGTCTGACACATATGTAGACCGGAGGTAGTCTTCCTGAACCAAAGACGCCCCAGCATCGACGCTAGTGATAACATGAGTTCCATAGTCCAAAACCATCCTTTCTGAGAGATAGTCTGCGTTCCTCGTCTGGTTGTTTTCGATGGCATCAGCTATCTCTTTGGCTTGTTGAGCAAAGCGTGTGTCCAGAGTGAAGTCTGGATAAGCCTTAACTGTGTAGATGAAGTTTCGGACCTTTGAAAGAAAGGAGTACAACACCATTGATGTTATGTTGTTTTAAAAAAACAAAACAAAAAAAAAAACATTTTATTTGCTTTTTAAAGTGATTGTCACATCTGTCCAGAGACTGCAGATGGAAAATAGCCTTCTGACTGACACAGGTACATTTATAGGAGTTTTTAATCCACACCACCTCTGTTAAATAGACCAGAACTGAACATAGAACGGATTTATAAGCAATCCAAAGTAGAGAAGGCATAAACAAAAAAGACAGAGATGATTTTAGTTCTTGATCAACAAACTGCTTTTTATGTTTACTGCTTTTTTTTATTTTATACATCTAAACCAAAGCCAAGTTAAATCGTACCTGCACTCTGGCTGTAGTTGAAGAGTCTTTGACCTGATGGGTTTTCATCCTCTGGTTCTCAATAGAAAATTTGCCATTCAGCACAGAGAAGAAAGATATGTCTGCATTTATGCTGTGCGCTACAGAGCTTTTCTGCTCCAGCCAGGAGTCGATTATCTCTGAGTTGGTCTCCACACCCGTCTCTTTGTGGGGAATGACAAAGACCTCGTCTGGGATCAGGTAGATCCCGTCCTCAGTGGTCTGGCACTGGAAGTAGCTGAGGTTCATAACTCGGCCCATATCCATGTTCCGGAGGTTGTCCCAGCCTCCACCTGGCAGCACCTCCAGTGCTGTGATGGAGAGGTTTGTGGAGGTACGACATTGCCTGAGCCCATTGGTTGGGCGGCTGATTGGGACAGGAGAGCAGACATGAAGGAGAGTGAGAGCCAGGAGAGTCACTGCTGTCTTCATGCTGACTGTGTCCAAAATGAGTGCGAAGACAGTTCAATACTGAATATCATCTAAGCCAAGTTCCTCCTTTTATTTTGCAGTTTATCATATGACGAGCAGGAAGATGTTGTTTAACAACTGGTGGGGGTGGATACAGTCTTGCTTTCATTTGCAAGTCTGCATTTTTGTATGTTCCAAATATTCTGTAGGCTACTTAGTAACAGAAAAAACAATTCTGTGAACCAAGAGTTTAACCTGAATACTCTTCCTCAGTTATGTCTAAGGTTATTTTCTATCAGAAAAATAAACGGTATAATATAACCTTTGCAATATCATAAAAACTACAGCAGGAGATGTTTTGTTAAGCCATTTACTGTGATTTATATCCTGTCATTGCAGTCATTAATGCTATCTTATTCAAATAATTGAAAAATGTGATTTTCTCAGTCAGTAAATGCCATGTAATGTGATGAATGATTAATCTGTCGCTACATATTAACCCAAAATAAACAATGAGACAAAAATGGAAAAATTCTTTACAGTTGAAATAGGCTTGGGTTATAAAAGCACAGTGCTGAAATGAACTGAGTAAAATGACAGGAGTAATATGCACAAATCACGAGGACCTTCCTAAACGTACGACACTGGAAGAGTTTGGTTATTTTAGGTGTAATCAATCTGTTCTTATTTATTTCACAAAAGAGAGGGTAGGTTAGAAAAAAAAAAGGAACACTAGATCTCAAATTTAATCTAAACCTAATCTAATAAACAACAGTTTAAAGGAACCAGGTACACTGCAGAGGCTGAGAGGTGTTTTGTTTCACAGTTTTATTTTTTACTCTTAAGGTCAAGTTAAAATTATCAGCAGACTTCCTCTTATCAAAAGGAACAGAAAGCAGATATGTTAACAAGATCTATTGAAAGGAAGTTGCTGTGTTTGCACGATCCGTGTCACGTGAGTGCATGTCAGTGGGAATGCCTTGAGAGTCTGAGTCACATACCCAGCAGTCAGACTTAAGCTTGTCTGGCAAAAATCCAGCGTTTAAAAATGTGAAACAATGTATGTAGCAATAACCTGCTGCATTGGAGTGAATGAAATAGCTTTCTAACAATATGAGAAACAATGTGAATGTATGTCTTATACCACCTATAGGGAATTTACCATTTTTTTCACATTGTTTATTTTAGGTTAATATGTAGCAGCAGATTAATCATTACATCATAAATGATCTCATATTATCTCTATGTGCTTCCCATCAGCACACAAACAGGAACACTAACACGCTCACAGGTGATAGGACACACAGTATAAACTTCCCCACATACCTACATCATAAAGGAAAACACATGAGTGGAAAAAATTGATTCTTGGCTGTTTCAAGTTGCTTAATTACTGGTGTAAAATTACTTCATATAATGAATACCAGAACAAAAAATAACTCAAATGTATAAGATTATGTTTTTAAAAACTTCTATATATTTGTTGTATTGTTAATTAATGCCAAATACCTTTGTTTTACTACATACTACTTTGTTATGTTACTACTTTGCTCATGATTTTTTTTCAGAGCTAACTTTTTCAATTCGATTCAATTGATTCCAGATTTTTTTTTTGTAATAAATAGACTAACCAGATCTTGGCTAGTTTATATGAATATTTGTCATTTTCTATTAATTATCGTCAAAACACAATTTTCAATTCCCATTCTGGCTTCTTTGTATTACAGTTTATATGTAAAACGCCATTTCGAGCCATTTCATTTTGAGCAGAACATCATTTTACAGAAACGTCATTCGACTTGTTACATTAAACGAGAACTGACCTGTGGTCCCAGCCAACTGTCTTTCACTACCTCTCCAGTGAAGTAACTGTTCCCGAATCCGGCCACTAGATGGCAACACGGAACCATACAGCTCATGAACTCTGCAGCTGTGTGAGTCACCGCACACGGTATGAAGTGCCTTCACTTTTAGGGTTCAGGGCCTCACCGCTTCAGCTTATCAAACCTAAAGGCTCTAAATTGTGTACGAATATGGATCATAGCCTTTTGTCATAGTTTTTACATTGACTTGACTCAGAATTAGTTGAAATCCAAACGCCGTCCGCCGTTATTTCTCTATAATAGAGATTATTTCATCTGCTTTTTAAATCCCATCATGATCTTGGATGAGAATGATATTCCTATATTCACCAGGCGGACTTCACTATCACATCAGCCGCACTGCAACGATGTTATGTTTTTTCCCGCTGGAGATAAGGGGAGTCTCAACGAACACGGGTTGCCACGCCCGTTCAGACTTACTGTTGTCAGTGATGATCAGCTGCGCTTTGCAAGCAGCTGGTGCTCTGCAGACACCAATCTTCAATAAAAACAAACAAGCAAACACTTTACAAACAGTGGTATATAGTTTGTAATCAAAGTTACTTTTCAACAAGTTCTTTCTAGCTCTTACTGTCTGTTCGTGGCAAGAGTTGTAGGCTATCATGACAGATGTGAGACAGTTTTCAAAGACGGACGCAGAAACGTGTTTTTTCCCGGCTAATGTGGGACTACAATCGCTGTTTGTGCCGTCTGCCAATTCACAAGAAACTCATTTTGTATGTAGTGACATCTGCGTAAATACACTGGGCTGGACTTCCCGGTCCCCGTGCGTAATGGTGCGTAAATGTGCCACTCCAAAACATCCTGCGCGCCAAAACAGAAACAACTCTTTCCCCGTTAAAGACCACAGAACACTTCCTTTTTCTACGACAGTGAACTCAGTGGTACTGAATGACAAAGGGATATTCAGAAGTAAATAGTACACTTAGTCATAAATGTAAACATCGACTGAGACATGATGTATACCTGACAACAGTAAAGGCTCAATTAAGTTTTGTTTTCTCAGATTGATGTTGTCAGTGGTAGGCTGTTTCTGCACAGACAGAGAAAACACATAATCTGTTCTATATCCAGTTTATCTAAGTCATTATTGTTGTTCAAAACTGATAAAACCACACATCACGCTCTGTAAATTAAAAAAAAAAAGTAATAGGTTTATTATTTCCAACAACAGCGATTCAATTCATTGCAGGCCACAGCAGATTGTGGCAAGAAAAGGTTCACAGCAGGTTCAGTATTTTCTACTATAGAAAAGCTGTAAAATAGCTCAAGCAAACTCAAGTTCTTGGAATGAATGCAGAAGTTTAGTCCACACAAGAGTTAAACGCCACTAGAAACACTTTTGGTCGGCATTTAGTGTTCAGAGGGAGAAGTTCACTTCTTGGCAGCAGCCCTGGTTCTGGTTGACTTGGCGACCTTGCGCTTTGCCTTCTTGGGACTCTTCGCCTTCTTGGGCTTCCTGGCTGCCGCGGGCCTCTTGGCTTTCTTAGGACTCTTTGCCTTCCTCTTCTTCTTAGGTGACTTCTTGGCTGCTGGAGTGCCACCTGGAGCTGCTTTCTTGGCTCTGGTCTTCTTTACTTTTTTCACCGGCTTCTTCTTTTTCACCACCTTCTTCTTTCGAGGTGTGGGTGGCTTCTTGTTCAGCTTGAAGGAGCCAGAGGCCCCGGTGCCTTTGGTCTGGACCAGGGATTTGTTGGCCAACAAGCGTCTGATGGCGATGAGGATTCTGGCTTTGTTCTTCACCACGTCGTATCCTCCGGCCTTTAGAGACTTCTTCAGGGCTGCCAGGGATGTGCCACCGCGCTCTGTGGATGCAGACATGGCCTTCAGTATCAGGTCTGACACTGTGGGACCTGTCTTCTTCCTCTGAGACTTGGCTCTCTTCTTTGGAGATTTGGACGGAGCCGCTGAGGGCAAAGCAATCACCGCAGAAGACATTGTAATAGCACCACTGCTGGGATCAGATGAGTGAGGTTTCTCAGAGAGACGAGGACAGAGTGATATCTCTGCTTGCCCTCCTGACGGGTTCAGGGTTGATAAAGCCCTGATGAGAACCATGTAGAGTGAGACCCGCCACCACAGCGCGCCTCTTCTCTCCCACTCAAACCTGATAAAGTTTGTGTTTTCTCCAGCTGGATTATTCTGGAAAAATTCTGTGTCAAATGTTGAATATCCATATAAAAAGCACATCATAAGAATGAGCATGCTCTCCACTCTCTATATCTATATTTTCATTCAGGGATTTGATAACGGCTTTTTGTGCAATTACAAGTTGGCTGTTGTAAAGTCTAATTTGAGGCATGTATTTTGAACATTTTAACAAGGTTACACCCTCTAAACAATCAAGTGCAGACTTTTAGAATTAAATATGGTTAAATAGTAATGTGTTTGATACACTGGCTGCAAAATTTAGTTTTATTTCATCTTTTTTTACTAATTAAATTCAACTTAATATGACCAAAGAAACACAGGTGCCCTGCACACCCATGATAGAGTGACCTCAACATAGATATAAGTTCCTGAAATTCAGTAGCAAGGACAGTTTTAATGAAAGTGTGAAGTGAAAAAAGTTAGATAACCAAAATTAAGTTTTATATCATCATATTTATCTACTGAAAATATTACTGTAGGCTACTGTATGTTTCTGTGTGGAGGGAGCGGGACCTCAGCCAGAATAAGAGTTATCAGCCTGTGAGGAGGGGCAGCAAGAGAAACGAATTCAAGATTAATTTCCCGGGTCTTTTTGAACTTTAGGCTTTTTATGAAACAACCTGTGTGAGATGCATTCACATTAGTGTGCATGTCTGTACATTTAAAACAAGAGTCTTTCTTATTAAAGCGATGATCCATGGTTTGACAACCAGTTTAATCATTTGATCTGGGACGTGATGCCATAAAGAAATGCAATAATTCCATTCCAAGCTTTTAACCTGCTGTGTCCTCTGCATATAAATAGATTAATTAAAGTAAGTGCAAAGGAATCAGTGAAGTAGTATATCATACGACACTGAATATTCCTCTGATTGCCTTTCCTTAATAATATCGCTTTAGATTGATGAACAGCACAAACATGTACAGTAGAGTAGGTTAGTATAGCATTGCAGACTATTTGAAGTATGAAGTTCAGTCAGATTTCAAACATAAAATACAACTTATCTTATTTGTAACCATTTTGTGTTCTTTTACATTGTTGTGAGAAATTTCATTTTGACGAAATGACAGGTATATTCACATACAGTAGATATGATTCATTGATGAAAAATCAGTATTTTTTTGTGATTCTCACATTAATATTATTATATATCCAGGTCTGTTTGATGATGTGTTTACAACTATTATCATTGTTGATGAGAACAAACCTTTAACAACAGTACAAACCCGAGTTTGTTGTATTGGTTTGATTTGCATTTGCGTGACATTGAACAGGACAAATCAACCTAAAAAGTGGTCCAACATCTGGGTTACTCTTTGATAGTATTTGTTTTAACCTGGAGACGATTATTAGACACATGAGCTGGAATATCAGTAATCTTAACTGTTTCAAAAATACTTGAATAAACTGCTCGAACCACACAGATAAAGTATGTGTGTCTGGGGGGAAAAGATTGGCAAATGTAGTCTGCCTTCTGTAGTGCACTGATAGCGCCTCCTCCTGTTACACACAAATACACACATACAAACCCACGCGAACACACAATGTGTGTTATGACAAAGTAAAATGAATTTCATCAAAATACAGTTCTGTTTTTTGATGGCAAGTCTGTATAAGTAGTTATTTTAGCTTAAAAAAAATATGTTGGTGATGACTGTAGAAAGCTTTAAATCCACTCTAACATGCACTGGAGCGGAGAACAGAGGGTGAAGCAGACATCTAAGATCAGATGAATTTGGACCAGTCGGAGAAACTTCCAGACAGAAACGGGCCTTTTAATCTAATCTCTATACTGTTCAGCTTGGATTTGATTTTGATAACGTAATCGACATGTTGTCACCCTAACCATTCAACCAAAACTTTTACTTCCTTAAGCAAAGAGGTACTGCAACTGTTTTGGACTTCTTGTGGTTTGTGTAGTTTGTCTACAGGGACTTTTAATGAAAAAGTAAGGTATTCAGCACTTATAAGTGACTCCTTTTAGAGTATGTGCTGTTGTTGTTTGAAAGTTATAAGGATTTGTTATCTGTGTTAAAGTCAGAAGAGCAGCTGTTACCTTATGTTGCGCTCCCTCACACTTAAATGAGTCAGTGGATTAAATCATCTAAATTAAGCCCATTTTAGACATTCACTTCAGCCTTCCAACCCCCCTGTTGAAGAAGTGTTAATAGAACCATTGTTTTGTACCAATACAAGCACACTGTGATTTATTGCTCCAGGCCTCTCTAGTATTTTTATGTCAGAATAATTCATGTCATTGCTTCTAACTGCTGAGGAGCAGGAGAGCTATCATCGTCATCCAGTGACCTTTTTGAATGAATCCACAGATTCACGACAGCCTCACGGTTCCTGTGAAAACAGCCACGAGTCAATCATACCGATACACAAACAGATACAGCAGGTTTGTGGTACAATAGTTGTGTCATGAATAACTTATGAAAAGGGGGGGGAAAAGACTGAGTGCCATCGCGTCTGTTGTTTTATTTTTTAAAAAGTGTTGTTAAGGCGTGTCAAATCGAGAATAAAGTGTGTTCTTAGTTCTGTATTGAAAACGTTTCTCCAAATTTACACATTAGCCTCAGTTTTATTTTGTTATTAGACTCCTTTGTTTTCTTCTGCGTGTCTTTGGGGCTTTCCGCTCTCCTCTGTGAGCGCGCCGTGTGATGTGATGTTGCTCTCTAGCTGAGGGGCTGTTGGACCTGTTCTGTTACATCGCTCTCCTCCCCAAAGCATGTGACCATGTGATCACATTCACTGCAGCCAGACAAAGTGAGAGAACTTGTGACTGAACGAGCGACGGCAGGAGACACTCGGCGGCTCTGCGAGAATAAAATCCGGAGTTTAGTGACCCCATAGTTTCTTCTTCAGTCTCCTCACCTCCGTCATACAACATGGACTGCGGGATCTTCACGTCCAAGACCATCCTCCTCTTCCTCAGCTTGATATTTTGGGTGAGTCATGGTGCCATTTCTCCACCTGCGAAAATTTTAATTTATACTGACAGCTAGAGAGAGGAGAACCGAGATGTGTTTGGTGTTTGTTTGTTTGTTTGTTTGTTTTTACCTTTAAACCATCGTTATTTGTTGTGTAGTAGTGTCTGTGAGCTCTGTGTTCTTTCAGGTTTGTATTCTACAAATCAGAGTTGTGACTTGATAACCACCCTGATAGCCTGCAGTATTATTACTATACTGTACTTCTTCATTTTAACTCTTCCCCAATGTAGTTCCCGTTTGGGCTATTTGTTTTTAAAACCGTAGTTAATGATTCCTTGAAGAGTGTTTCTCAATAATGTGACCAGAAGTCTAAGAGTTAAGGGGAACAGTGATTCACTGGCTCCCCCGTCCAGTCTGACCCGAAGAGATACTCCATCTCTTTTAGACTTCTGCTTGTCTTCAGTCCCTGTACTGTAATCTGGCCTACAGTATATGGACACTATGTATGTAGTGGGCCACTTATGACTGACTCCTGACCAGAGTTTATTTCTGGCTTATTGTCAAAGTAAACTTTGGATTTGTATATTGTTGGCTTATCATTCACCATGTCTCTCCTCATTTGGCCTCGCTGGCAAACAGTTGTCAGTTGTCCTCCTTCTCAGAGCAAATGGGTTTTCAAGGGACCAACTAAACTTCTGTGCTGTCTGTGGCTGATGTCTGTGTAATTAGATTATTGTGAGATAAAACTGCCCTGTGTGTTTATTTGGAAGGGAAACCACAGACATGGTTTATCTTTTCAATTTTTTTTTAACTTCCATACTATTTTAACTTCCTTACTTTAAACTTCTCTTTCTTCCCAATGTAGTGCTTTATCTTCCCCCTTTGCATTTAACGCTTGCCATTTTCCCATCTCTAACAAGTATATGAGTTTGTTTAATGAGTCTGTTTTCTAATGTTTATAGGGTTTATTACATTCCTCTGTCCGGTCTTTCCTTTAACCCAGGCTTTACACACAACATATGTCATATGGCAAAGATCTGTGACATATAACGCAGGTTTCTATTTGTGAAGCAGCAAAAATTTAATGCGATCATCTCTTATTTGTAAACCACATAACTCAAAAGATCACCCACATCAGGTGTATCTTGTTTCTCCTAACAGCTGCAGCTCAGTTGTGTCGTCTGTCGTGCCTGTTGACTGGTTATGAAGAATGTGGGGCAAACTTTATTTGGCCAACAGTCAAGCACTAAAACAAACCAAATCCACGTATTGGAGCAAGACAGTGATCATCCATATTTGATTTTTCCACTGATTCATCAGGCCAAGAGTCTTGAGCAGTTGTGTGAGTTAGATGATGAGAAACTGTACATTTTGAACAAGATTAACTGTAACAAGAATGTAGGAGAGATGTTGAAAATTGTTTTTAAAAAAAATTATAGTTCAACCAAAATATCAGCTTATCCTTTTACACACTGCCTGGCCCACTGCCAGGTCTGTATTTAGGAAAACATTTATATGCAGCTAAACACAGAACAAACCCACAAAAGTTTATATAAAGTCTTTTGAAGATCCTAATGTTCCAAAAGATGGCAGATATTAATAAACAAATATATTGTGTAGTGAATTTAGTGACGATGTGTATAAAATGATCCACTTCACAACTGATGTAATGGTGCTGTGATAAATCATGGTTTCTTTGTATTCTAAGATTTAATCAGTTAATATGTCTAATTGCGTAATAGAAGTGTTTTTCTAAAAGAAAATTGGGTGATTTAGGGAGAAAATCTAAATTTTAAAAGGCTGTGCTCTGGATGTGTGGAAGTACATGAGCAGAAATGTCACGGCTGCTGTCTTTCCCAGTTGGCTAAACTTAAATCATGTCTGCCCCTTGAACCTGGTCCGAGGTACAGTGCGGTTACAGAACATTTGCAGTGCAGGGACCCGCTAAAATCATGGCCACAGACCAAGAAACATCGCTCCAGAGGTTTCTCACATTCCAGAGAGGTGGCACCGTGCATGGGCGCTATATGTTGTGTAAGCGTCTTTGTGCTGCTTCTTAGGAACAAGGTCTGAGTTTCTGGAAAGATTAGGGGTGAGCCACGGTGTGTGTGTGGGGGGGGGGGTTAGACACACTATTCCACAGGGATCCCGTGACTGTGGAGTGATTAAGAGAAGTGAGTCATGGGGCTGAACTGAGGGATGAATGATTGTTAGGCCGCACAAAACACACATTTTCACATACAAACAAACATGTCCACACTATGTATAACTCATATCATTAGAGGGGAAGTAATACTGAAAATGACACAAATACACAGACACACACAAGGGGGATTTTTGATTAATATTCTGAGAAATAAAGGGTTGTCTTTTTACCTCAAACTTTCCAACTGGAAATTTAGTTGATCACATATTTTCTTATTCTCATATCCCCGCTGTGCCACCAGGATATACAGTACAAACAGGATTTGCACAAAAAGCTATATTTGAGTGTAATTTTATTTACAGTTTAGATTCTGAAGTGTTATTTATGTAACTTCCATCACTCAGCAGCTTCTTTTTCCACCAACAGGCGTTTGAATTGACACATTGAGTGTCAAAGGGCAAAAGGAAGTCAGGAGTGCTGATAATGAGATAAATCTATAAAAAGCCATTGTTTTCTGAAACAGTTGCCTCTGTTATTGAAGTCTTTGTACTATGGACCCTCGAAAACCTTTGAGTTTTTGGACCAGATAGTTAAACAGATACACAAAGCGGAATAAACAAAGGTGTCATTTTACAATAACATGATAAATCATTTTGAAATTGTCACTGTAAGTTCAGTCTGTACTGTGTTTTCACAAAATTGGCCCATAAATGTGCAGTCTTATGACTGGTGAGCTCACTACTGGAGCATGACTTGTGCATAAGTCATGATTATGGTGTGACTTGATGCCTAATCCACATCTGACTCCACAGCGATGGACTACCAGTGACCTTACGGATTGTGTTCATCACATGAGGTCATATCAGATAATGATATTAGAACAAATCCCTTTGAGCTGTCTAAAAGTGTTTGAAGTGTTTTTAGAGTTCTCACTTTATATTCGCTGCCATTCATGATTATAGGCAGGCTATCATTACTACCTCGACTATCTTTTGTACCTTTAGAAAAAGAAGTGTCATAATTCAGTGTAGTTCATGTTATTCAACTTGCTGTGTTTTAACTACGTCATGTTCACATACAAAGACCAAATGGCTGACTCATATCATACATCAGTATTACTGAGTGGAAGGTTAAAAAACAGCTTTTTCCTCTCAGTTTCTCTAGTATTCAGTGTACAGATTATGAACATGACGCTTTCAACTACATCAAAGGGAGGAAAAAGAAAAACAGATCATGTGACAAATCCCTCCACTTGTTTTAGTGTGCGTTTGTTTCTGCAGTACTTTGTTAAATGCAATTGAGGTTTTCTGGAAAAGCTGAAGATCCATTACTTTATGATTGTTGACTCTGTTTAGCACAGATTTGAATAACTGGTGAAGAAATGGTCAAAATTAGGAGAGAGTGGATAATTTAGCTCTCAGCTCAGTAGCTAGTGCTTATTGTAGAATGTTGTGTAATTAAACAGTGTCAGCAGATAAAAGTGTTCACTGTACCCTCATGTTATTCTCAGTGGGATCCTTATTTTTGTGTTTATTCCCAGAATAAAAACTTTGACAAACATACATGATGAAAATGAGAAAACTAGTGTCTTCAAATGATCTGTTTAAAAAAAAAAAAAAAAAAAAAAATCTTTGCATTTGCTCTTAATGTTATAATCATATAATTCGTTTACTGACTCTGATCTGTATGCACACATGGTAACCATATTGCTTCCTCCTCCCTGCAGGCTGCAGGAGCGGCGTTGGCCTACGTTGGCGCCTATGTGATCAAGAGCTATGACAATTTTGACAGTTTCATTCAGGACAAGTACACGCTTGTACCAGCAGCCATCATCATTGGCATCAGCGTGGTGATGTTCCTTTTTGGGCTGTTGGGATGCTGCTCCACAATCAGAGAGTCCAAATTCGGCCTCAGCTTTGTAAGTGTGTGTGTGTGTGTGTGTGTGTGTGTGTGTGTGTGTGTGTGAGTGTGTGAGAAAGAGAGAGAGAGAGAGAGGTGAGGTGTAAGCTATAATTTGTGCTTCAGTCAGTTCCTTGACATTTCCTTGTTTGTTTGAATCTGAAGTCTGAAGGTGAAAATGCAACTGCAAACATTTACAGTATTTTCAGTTAAAGTTTTAGTTGTCAGCTTTGATGTTTCATTTATGAACTTTTGTTCATCCTTTCGCCGTGTTTCATTTCTATTTTATCCAATACATTTCTTAACAACATCTCATTTTCTTCCTCTCCAGTTCTTCCTGATCATCATGGCGATCTTTGCCGCTGAAATAACTGCTTTGGTATTTAGCTTCATCTACCAGGGCAAGGTGAGTCACGGATACATATTCTCTGTCGCACAATATTTGCTGCGGACTGTAAAGTATATTGGGATATACGGTATTTAATATCCGTCATTGTAAATCTGCTTTGGCACACTTATATACTGTGTGAGCCCATTAGCAAAGCACCTGACTGCATACATTGTGTGTGTTTTTTTTTTTCAGATAAGTGGAGATCTGGAGCGCTCTATGAATGGAACCTTTGAAAAGTATGATGGACAGGGCACTGAGACCAAAGGTGTGGACTACCTGCAGCAACAGGTTGGCATCGTGGTCTACTGTATATAAATAGATGGTCTAGCTTTGTTTTCTCAGTTGTACTTTTTCCTCTTCTGCTTCACTTGCTTTCTCTCTCGCTTGCTTGCTTTCATTTCCCTCTCTTGTTCTTTCGTTTTACTCCCCCTCGGTCTTTCACTCTCTTGCCTTTTTAAGAAAAAAAAAAAAACATCTTAAAACAGCAACAGCTAAAACACAGTATACGTTATATTTTGATAACTGGCCAGATGGAAACAATACATGTTATTAGAGCTAAAAAAACAACTCTATTTTGATTTTATATAAATAATAAAATAAACTCTTTTATGCGTTAATTCAAGAATGTGTAAATTAATGTAAAGTGAAGACCATTACAATCTTAAAACATTTTGCAATAGCTTATAGTTCAGCAATACAGACAAATAAAAATAATGTCCATAAAGGACTACTGCGTTCTCAAACAACCAGACTTGCTTAGCTGCGTCAGATTCACACCTCTGGGCCTGTCACATGTCGTTGTGGGACATGCAGGAAGTTACTCACTGAAATAGGAGTTAAAGCAGGTTGATGGAGAGTGTGCAGGTCAAAAAATAAAGACTTCACACATCCCTAAATAACTTCCTGTACCATAAAGCACTCACTATACTCATGTAGATTAATGGTAGGTGGATATTTCGTATAACTGTTTCTCATATACTAGCATCTACATTTCCCTCCATTTTTATCTTTTTTTTCCTTTTTTTTTAGTTTTCCTCCTTTTTCATCACCTGTCTTTGACTCTGTGCAGTTGCAGTGCTGCGGAGTTAAAAATTACACCAACTGGATCGGCACGGCGTGGTATACCAGCCACAACAACACAGTGCCTGTGTCCTGCTGCAAGAACAGCACCGCGCAGTGCACTGGCCGACTGGATCAACCAGAACTGCTTAACGTAGAGGTAAATCACACGGAATCACACTTTGCTATTTTTGACATAAATACTGTGTCAGTGCACATGTGGTTACACATGCTTATGCTGTTGTTGTGCTGGGGATAGTAAGCTGTTTATTTGGTCTTTTAACTGCTTCTCCAGCTACGACTTGAACACAGGGAATTATCTGACACTGAATGATTTTTATTTTGACTCAAAAAATAAAATCTGCAAAACCCAATTATCTAACAGACATTTTAATGAAGACATTGCCAAGGTATGATCAGCACATATGTTTACCCACTGCGTATATTTCAGGGTTGTGAACCCAAGCTGACGCGCCTCCTCCAGGATGTGTGGGGTTACGCCATGCTGGTCATTCTGGGCTTCGCAATCATCAAGGTAAAGACGGGTGCAGTCAGCATGACCCAACACACACTTAAGCAGCATTTCAACAGCAATATGCAAAATATGTGGTGGTAAGCTGTGGAATAAACTGATATCGGAGATACACATCAGTCAGTGCAACAGATGGTGTATCTTATTGGAGAAATTGAAGGCTACATGTTATACTTCTCCATATGCTTTGTTGTACCTTCCAAGTGCATGTATTTCCTAACTGAGCAGTAGTTGTTTGGTACATTAGAGTTAGTCAGAGGTGGAAAACAAGCTGAAGTCCTGCTGAGTAAGAATCAAATAGAGGATCATCTGTCTTTGAATCCGCTCGTGTAAAAGAACAATGATAGCCCTGTTGATAGCTACTCTACACTTAACTTATTCAATTATGCTTTTCAACGTGATCTTTCTAAGAAAGCCAAACTCAGATGTGGCCTTACAAGGGGAAGTTATCTGAGAGGAACATCCTCCTTCTTGTGCCATAGGCTACTTTCTTGCTAGTTCTTGTTCTCTCACATTGATTGAGTGAAATACTTGATCCTATCCTAACCTACTCAAATACAGCAGTTAAAGTTCTTGTAACCCTTTATGTTCCATTCCAGTGCAAATTTGTTCACATAACCTACGCTGCTTCAGAAAATACATTTTAAGAGCTTGTGTATGATTACCTTTACTTTTGTTGCAGTTCTTTGGGATGCTAAGCGTATGTGTGATCACCTGTAAAAGTGGCAGCCGAAGGAGCGGCTACCAGCCTCTCTACGCCTGAACCACCTCCTGAAATCACCCACCACCTCCTCACTTCAGTCCTTTAGGTTTTCTGACCACTTGATATCGGCAGGCATCCTTATTCTGCAGTGTACAGAGGCTTCCAGGTCAAACGTATACAAATCTAAGATTTACTTACATAATGGCATATACACACAAGTGGAAAACTCTTCTCCTTGTAAGATCACTCCTCAGACGATATTTGACATAAATGTGACGTGGCTTTGAATTTTGACTTATTGTCTTGATTTCCATTTTGGTTGGGCTGCCAAAGGTTTTTGTACTGTTACAACCGAGCCTCTTTGACATAACACTTACAACAACGATATAAGAAACCATTTTTAAGCAGTAGTTTGCTGCAAGACTTACTCGTCTGAAGCACCTTCTTATTTCTAATGCTTGTCTGTAAACCTCATGCAGCTGCCGGGACATCACAGGAGAGAAAAGGTGACAGAAAAGAAAACTATTTTTGGACATTGAGACTTGTACTTGTAAATCTTGCTGAGCCTTCTCACTCTGCTGCATCATGTAGATATTCTTTTAAAGGAAATTATTCTTTGGATTATACCATAATGTGGGAGTACAAACTATATATTAAGATTTTTAGAGTATAGCAGTTTAATGTCTCCTTTAGGATTGCAATATTTATAGTCAACTGAATGAATGAATACATTATATATTTAATGGTATGGTCAGTTAACTGTATTTAATGAAGTTACAGTTTTACCTACAGTAGTTTGACTTTGTGTTTATGATGTTTCTAAATTAAAAAGGTGAATATTTCACAATAATTTGGAGTTTGGTGCAGTTATATCACATCCTTGTGTTGCCTTGTTTTCTGTGGTTATTTTGTTTTTTTAACCTTTTGTAAAAAGTCTTTATAGCTAGGACATACTGACAGTTGAACACATATTATCACGTGTTGCCACAGAATTAAGGGGACAAAAAAAACAGTTATGTCTAAACCTGTGCCAAAACACATTTCTAGCTTCATTTCAAACAGCAGGATTTTTTTTTTTTTTTTTTACCAGAGGCCTCTGTTACAGGGTGCACATTCAAAGCATCACATTGAACGTGACCCACGGTGGTTATCTTTCTCTCACCTCCTGACTCTACTGATAAAGAGGCCCTTTAGTTTGGCACATACAGAAGATAGGAGTGTTCGTGTTACATAAGCACCAAAAAGATAAATGAAATTATAAACTCACGTTGAGGGGCGTAGTAGTCATCAATCATCACACAGCACAGATTAAAGGGTAGATCTCCCACTGATGAGGCTGTAGATATAACTGATTTCAACCATTAGTTTCATTCAGACTTAAATTATCCATTTACTTTTTTCATAAATGATTCAAACCAGCCATGCAACAAACCCCTTTTTCTTCCCCTTTTGCAAGTGCCAATCCTGTAATTACCAAATCCTAAACCACAATAATCCGTTAGCATCAGAACACATCACTGTAGGTTTTTGCGTTTGTGTGTTTAGTTGCAGTAACTCCTGCAGGTGGTGGTAGAGAACCTGCTCTGAGTTTGAAGTCTAAAACAGTAGTTGTGGTGATGAAGGGGCCCAAGAAACACGCTGTATGTGCTCTCTGCAGAGGTAGTACATATATATTTTGTCATTCAGTTATTATAAGTATATATTAATGGACAAAATACATGAATACAGTGAGTCTTAAATAGGATTTTTACATGTTTTAGAGCTTGAAGAATCACAAATGAATCTTTATTCAACAATTATTTAGGTACTTCATATTAACAAAACTTTCATGTAACTTGTTACTTGTGTTGGAGTTTCAATTAGGCTATCTGCTCTGTGTGATAAACATCAGTGTGTGTGCTGTTGTTTTAATGTTGTCCTCTGATGTAAATAACCCCGCTGCCCTGTCTCAGTCTGTGTCCCTCTTATATCTCTTGACTGCATATCTTATTCTATGCGTGTCCTCACTGCTCCAGGCTGCGTTGGCATTTAGACACAGCCGGTCCTTTCCAGAGAGAGCTGTTGGCACACACATGGCAAGATAACCTTGTCAGCTCTGAGACCTGTTTTCCTCCCTCTTTCCTTAAACTGTCTCTTTCTCCCGTCTCCCTTTCTCCCTCATGTCTCTTTATCTCTGTGTGTGTCAGGGTGTCAGTTTCTCAGCTCACCTTTTCCCTCCTCACGTATCTTTCTCTGCCTGTTTCTGTTTTACATTTGAGGTGTACTTGCATCTCTGCTTCTGACATGGAAGACTCATCTGTTTTCTGTTCTGTGCTCTTGTTTTTCTCAACTTCCTTCACTCTGTAGTATCTCACGTGTTAACCCTTGATATCAGATGGTGCAGCAAGAAGATAGAGCTCTTTCTCAGTAATGCTGCATATACTGAACTGTGAATAATAACAACCAAGAAGATTTTAAATCATTAGTGTCTGTTTCTCTACGTGTACTATCCATATCGACATTAATATGTGGGGTTACGTTACGTTTTGGTATTTTTCTTGGTTCATAACATGAATGAAAAGGCTATAAATAAATAGATAAATAAATTAAACTCCAAAAACATCCATTGGATCCTACATTTCCCATAATGCAACTGGATAGCCCTCCCCCGCTTCTCTAAATGCCCACTTATTTCAAACATCACACCTCATGCCTCTCAAGTCCAATCTGAGATAACCCTGATGACTTCATTAAGGTGAATAGCGTACAAACTGTGGTGTGTATTTGAATATTTATATATAATACATAATATGTTTAAATATATAGGAAAACAATAGATTTAGATAGCATGAGGTTTGAATCAGGTTTTTACAACAGCCTGTCCAGCCTTCACTCTCTCTCACCTTAAAGGGAAGAATGAAGTGGAAAGCACTGAATTCACTGAGCTAAGAGTTGTTTGTGCATATGATTTGCTGCTGTAGCATTTTCTATTCCCTTATGGGTCATCTTCACTCACCCACAGATGTGGCCCCATTCTCTCTCTCTCTCTCTCTCTCTCTCTCTCTCTCTCCTCTTTGGGTCATCAGTCAGCACAAACGCACACCGAGCAAGCCGACTAAGCCAGATGTCGTCACAGGGAAATTTCAGCCCTAATTTATTTATTTCCTTTCCTACTTAGACAGGGATCTGTTGGAGGGAGGTAACCTGAGGAGGACACACACACAATGCTGCTGCTCACTCTGCTGAAGGCAGGCAGGCCGTTTCTTTGTGTCTTTGTAGAGATCCGTGGACTCCTTCATGACCTGCATAACATTTCTATTACCAAATATCTTCTCTGGAGTTGTTTTGTTTTGTAACATACCTGCTAGCTTTAGCATCAAACAAGCCGCAAAGACCCTCGCTTACCATAAACACTTTGATGTATCACATGGTAGATGATAGGTAATGTTTGTTTTCTCATAGGTTTGATAGGAAAAAAGAAGGACCTTCTCCTTTTTATTAAAAAAATTATACAAACAAACAGGGGACTAGTACAGTGTCCTGGTTTTGTTTAGATTCCTCGCCTTCACACTTCTTTCCAGGGCAGATCCATAAATAATGACCACACATTGTCAAGACCAGGAGCAGGTGCAGCTGACAACATACCTGCCCCTCTCTCTCTCTCTCTCTCTCTCTCTCTCTCTCTTTCTCTTCTCTCTCTCTTCTGTCTTTCTCTCTCTCTGTCTCTGTGTGTTTCTGTAAATAGCCACCCACCACCGAAACTGTGATGTCTCCATTTGTCAGATGCTATCAGTATTAATTAGAGAGGTCTGCCTGAAAAGAGGAACAGAAATGCAGCACAGACGCAGAGAACAAAGACTCAAATGGACCAAAGGAGCAGCGAGAGTATCATGGCATTATCCATATTATCTATAATTTTCTGATTTAATCTTCGAAACATAAGTTGTTTTAAGAGATATTCATGTCATCGAGCTCTTTTTCCTCCCTTTCATCTTCTTTTCCTTTATTTCTGCAGTCTTTTTTTTCTACATTTGTTTTTTTTGTCATTCCTGTTTGCGTTCTTTTCTTCTTTTTTTATTGTTTATTGTAAGTAGATACTAAGTGATTTGGGGCTAATAGCATTTCCTCTACCTATTACTTTTGAAATACTCATAAAAATAGTCAATTTTGTGACAAACCTGGAAACGGTCCCAGACTTATAAATCCCAGATCTTTCATAAACGCTAACAAGAGGTTATTTTTGTGAATGTCATCTAGCTGATACATCAGAGCTAACGACTTTAATGGCAGGTTGTGATGTTGCAGTGTTTCAGAAGCTGTGTCAGTGCAGTGAAATAAAAACACCAGAGTGATTGTAGATACACTTTCGAACTGCATCACTGTTAGTCACAGTCATGCGGGGAGCATATCACAGCATCAAAAGAGCTATTAAAATCGTGTTTGTGTGTGTGTGTGTGTGTGTGTGTGTGTGTGTGTGTGTGTGTGTGTGTGTGTGTGTGTGTGTGTGTGTGTGTGTGTGTGTGTGTGTGTGTGTCTGTCTGTGTGTGTATGTGTGTGTGCGTGTGTGCATGCGTGTGTGTTGAATTCATTTAATCACATCATCAATAATTATTGGAAGTATTCCTTGGATTAGCATAAAATGTTTTTGTGAAGTATTAAATCAACAGAAAACACACTTCCAATAATAGTGAAAGACAAAACATAGATATGACGTTTCATTATAAACTGGTCTTCTCTGCCACTGAATAAAAACATCTGGAATAAGACTTTGTTCTGATGCAGCTGCAACAAAAGTATTCAACAATTTCCTTTTCACTACATTCCATTTGTAAACCTGTCTTATCTTACCGACACGCAGGAAAGGCAGCAGATACACACCTGGAAGATGTAAAGCAAAACGTTTCTTTTAATCCAAGCGGTTTTGCTGTAGCGACATCATACAGGAGGTACAGGACTTCCACTGGGTCCTTGTTTTGGAGGGGCCGAACATTTCTCTGTCACTTTCAATTTTCCAACAGCACCAGCTCTCTGATTATAACCTCCCCTCAGTAATCAGAGGGAACCACTGAGCCATCATCTACTTTAGCAAATCGTTCATCAGATGGCTGCTTCACACACTTCATTTAGCCAAAAAGTGTCCTAACGTAAAAGAAGTTTAAAATGAGCAACAAATAGGAAGCAAAGCAAAAATGTTAAATGTTCATCTGTTAACATGACTTTCAATACATAATTGATACAATTAAAGGTCTTCTGTGCCCTGCGCAGTAGCTCTGCGGTCTTGAATTTTAAAAAGTGAAGGCCCAATGATCTTTCATTTCCAATCTAGACATCCTCTGCCCCCAGTGATATCTATCTGACTGTGATGTCTCCAGGTTGGCGACAGATGGGATCGACATGTTTAACATCGCTGTCAGAGTTACAGGATCTTGTATCTCACCATTAACTCAGAGATCTCCCACACTGTGCTTATTCTCACTCATCTAACCAGGCAGAACTGGCATACAAAATCCACACACTCTCCTCTCCTCTTCTCACCGATTGAGCCGTAACATCAGTGTGTCACTTTACACAGGGTTCATTACATTAGGTTACTCCTGGGTCTCAGTTCTCTCTACAGCATCTCTCCTCTTTGCTAATCCCTGCAGCTGTAGCACCTCTGCATAATCATTATTACAGTCACTATGACCTGCCTTCTCTTTTTTTAAGTTTCTCTCAGTGTGCTGACTCTCATAACCACCCTCCACTAGCCACAGGCTATGGGACCTTGTAAGTCAACAGATTTTATAAAATACAGCCATAAGGCACTGCAGACATTAGTGGACCTTCTGTTTCTGTTAGGCTTTTGTTCTGCTCTCTCCGTCTTGGTGAAGGCCTGCAACAGTGCATCGAGTTCAAACTGAGTTTTCTGAGGGCTTGGGAATAGCACAAACTCAAAATAGAACTGAAACATAATAATAATAATAATAATAGATATGATAATAAAACTTTCAAACTTGGATTTAGGCCAACAAAGTGGAAAATGGGAGAAAGAGCACATAAGAAGTGCCTTTTTCATTTTCTTCCATGTTTTTCATTGTAACGAATTTTACCACACAGACAGTGATTTCCAGTGAAACCAGGCTCCTGTTTCCAAGTATAAGCATGTCATCTTTGCTTTCACTGACATGACATGCTTATACAAGCTTTTCATTTTCACTCCCTCCATGATCTGCAGCTCCCTACAGGTCATTGACATGGTGGCGTCCTCCCTGTTAATATTCAAATATTCATTCACTACCAACAAAGGCTCCTCTCTAGCTTCCTCTCAAACCCACAAATTCTGCACCTGTCAGGATGATAGATGACCATGGAAATGATCAAGCTATAATAATCATGGCAAGAGTTAAACTGAGTGATTTCTCCCTGTAACTTTCATATAGTCTTATAGTATTTCATCTGTGGGTTTGGAGACCAAAACGACCCCCCCCCCCCCCCCCAGTTTAACTGAGGTCAGGGTGCTGGAGTCCGAGAGAGAGAGAGAGAGAGAGAGAGAGAGAGAGAGAGAGAGAGAGAGATGGGTACTTCATCATCCGTGGTGCAGTGTGTATGTGAGAGTGTGTAAAGCCACTCAGGTCTAGATGTAGGGTGATCCCTCCTCTCCTCCCTCCCTCAGATCGCTCCTCTGAAGCGCTGACAGAGAGCGGACAGTCGCCCACAATAACTGGTTCAGCCTCTGGCTTATCAGATCGGATCCCCCAGCCCACCCACCCCTCCGCCGCCCCCCCTTACTCAGCTCCCGGTGCCGACCCGTGCCTGCTGTTCCTGTATCATCTGAATCACACACACACAGACAGAGATGCGGACGTGTTTCACTTTCTTTGCTTCCAAGGACCCGTATCTCTCACATCTTTTCCTGGGATCTTTGTTTCTGGACGGCAGCAGGCTGCGGCTGCGTAATACTCCGGTGAGTAGTGATGGTTGCTGTTGTTATCTTTGCGTGTATTTCTCTCTTCTTCCTCTTGTTATTGCACACGGAGCAGGTGCTGACATAGATAAGATAAAGTGAAGCTGGGCTTGAGTGGGGAGAGGGAGAACGGGCCCGTTTTGTCGTTGGCACACTTTTTCCTTTTTGGAAACGGGGCTTCATGCTTTATTAGAAGCACTTAAATCTCAGTGTTTTTGTTCTGTCAGAGGGGCGTTACTGGAGTGTATGTAGACACACAAAGGCAAGCTGCACGAAGCCAGTGTGCAGAGAGGATGCAGCGTTTCCCATCTGAAGTACAGCCGCCTAACGCTTGCTGGGAAGCACACTGTGTTAAAAAACAAAAAAGAAAAAAAAAAAGACAGTCAGGGACACAGAGGCAGCTGCACAAAGCCAGTGTACAACAGGGTGTACCGTTGTTTGCTCCCATCTGCCGTCACCTACCAATTCATTAACATCATACTGGCTCAGAGTGTAGAGGGTAGTTTCATTGTCTCTCCACAACCCAAATTAAAGAGTATTTAAAACCAAAAGTAGATATTTCTAATTTTTTAGTAAAACAAATTAATGTATTTTATTGCACTGGATCGAGAAACTGTTCACGATTTTTATTTATAAAATCTATTCTTGCTGCATAACCTGAAGAAATATGGAGAATAAATGCTCAGAGAGAACACCAAGTGCCATCTCCAGTCGTTATGCATTATTTATAAAGTTAGCCCAGTGCTGCACCTCCCACCCAGCACCACTGTCAATGCTCCCCCTCCCTCTCTCTCAGTCTCTCTGTTCTCACCTTACACTCTCACAGCCTCTGACAGTCAGCCTGACTGAGGCGAACATGAGTCTGTTTAGAAGTGTTTCGAAGGCTGTTAAAGAACAGTTGAGGAACGATTGCTTACCCCCCATTTCTAGAAAGAAAGACTGAAAGAGAGAGAGAGAGAGAGAGAGAGAGAGAGCAAATACTCAACTCTGCCTTCAGGCCTTTGACAGCAAAGAGATTTGTTTTATGGATTGATGGATTGTTTGAGTTCTTACTGCAGGGATCTAGGGGTGTGAGAAAGTCAATGCTTTGGTTTCATACCATTATACGACCTTCCCAGGGGTTGAAATAAGAAATAAGAGCTATAAGAAAATGCAACAAGAAACAAATGAAAGAATACAAAGTGGACTTTCCATTGACAAAAAAACGCCACCATGTTAATCTGTTCCATTCAGTCCCACTGTCTCTGCTCTGAAACATCAGCAGCTTCATATAGCTGATATCCATTGAATCGATGTGATGATCCTCTCTAAGCACATTAAGTTGCTGGTGTAGATTAGGTTACACTGCCATTCAGTGTTATGTAATGGTAACTCTCCTACGACACAGACAAAAGTGACACACACACACACACACACACACACACACACAGGCGCTGTTGCTGTGTAACTTTCATCTTTATCTTCCTTGTCTGTCTGTTCTCTGTTCATCCTGTTTCCTCTCTTTTCCTCCCCAGGAGCAGCAGCAACAGATGTGTTGAGCGACTCAGCTAATAGCAATATCTTTCCACACTGACCACAGCCTGATGCTTAAATCCTTACATTCATAATAAGGCAACGGGAAGCAGATTACTGAGGGATTATACGCATGCACATGTATTGTACGCGCATGCACACACAGAGGATAGCACAGTTCCAGGATTTGACCGCTGTGCCACTGTGGAGCTCACTCTGAATGAACTCGTGTGGCAGGCTGGCTGACTGAGACACCGTGGTATCATGGAAGAAGAGGAGGAGCCAACCGAGTCTCATTGAATTTAAAACACATGCCCCCGCCTCCCTCCTCCTGCATCAGTATCGAAGGCTTTGACTGGCCGATGAGGATTACAGACAGAAAGAGAGAAGAGTGCAGAGCCGACCGTCCGCCTGTTGCTGTCCCATGATGCATCTACACATGTAAGAGCAGGATCAGCCGCACAGAGGGCTGTTTCTATGGATACCCCTGCCCTGGGTAGTATTAATAAGACTCACTGATATTCTGACTATCTGTGCGTGGAGAAGATACAGTGAGAGATTAGATGTGCATCCCTGCAGCATCAGATAACATCTGTGGAGCAGTAAAAGACATCATCATCAAGTGTCAGGAGGAAAACATTGAGGGATTGTTTTTTTTCAGATTTGAACATGTACTGTAGCTGCTTTACCAACACATGTTTAAACCCGTGGCTGCACAATCACTGACTAAAACAAATGTTAGCTTTCTTTCCGCTTGGTTTCATATATTTTGATCCTTTCTGAGGTTCAATTTTTTTGCTCAGACACCCCTTGTCCTAAACTCCTCTAAGATAAGTCAACATGTGAACATTAACAACGGATGGTTCACTAAAAGGGTGATTTAACAAGGATCTACACACACAGGACTAATAGAGGAGGTGAAGTGATGCACAAAGAAACCTCCTCTTAGGCCTAAACAAAATTATTTCTTTTCAATCCCGCCTGAAATTCTAAGTACAAATTCAGTAGGGTTGTAAGATAGTCCTACACTTTACTAGGCCCCTAAAACTGCCACCATCTTCCACCAGACAAAACAGACATCTACATGCACCCACTACCCAAAGAAAAATCAGATGTCTAGTTAAGGTTCTGGACTCACCAGCAAGATGTGGCGTTGTGTACATCAGACGATAACAAAGAAGTTTTAATTTATAAACTGTTGGGATCCATCAAGTGCACTGAACCGCCTGAAATCTATCTATCATCTGTCTCTTATACCTCTAAAGTGAGCTATCATGGCCAGACAGGACACTCCCCTCTTCCTCCATGGCTTCGACCTCAGTGGCCACTTTGTTGACCTTCGACCTCTCGGCACAGGTGTCACTGGCCTAGTGCTCTCAGCTGTGGACCAGCGCAATGGACAGCGTGTGGCAATTAAAAAGCTGGTGATGCGTGACATGGTGACGGTGAAACATGCCCTGCGGGAGGTGAAAATCACCCATCGGCTGCACCATGAAAACGTGGTCCAGGTTCATGAGGTTTTGGCGCCATATGGACGGCCGCTGCCCCGAGACCCAGCCCAGCTCAGTGCCCTGTACATTGTGCAGGAGTGCATGGAAACAGATATGGCTCGGCTGCTGGAACAAGGACCTCTACCCACAGGTATGGGGGTTGAAAGGGGGGAAAGAGAAAATTCTACTTAAGTAAATTGCAAATGTTTTTTCTACTGGTCTTTCTTGTTACATCACTGCTGGCCATGTTTACACAGTGATTTATTGGATTTAAAAGAAATCCTTTTAAGACCTGGTTAGCTAAGACTGTGGCAAAAATACCACATTCAAAAATGACACATTTGTACATTTTATTCCATTTTTTGCACTTTAACAGGTCACGCTACTCTGCTGTTCTACCAGCTGCTGAGGGGACTAAAGTTCATCCACTCAGCTAATGTCCTGCACAGAGACCTAAAGCCTGCCAACATATTCATCAACACAGACCAACTGCTGCTCAAGATTGGAGACTTTGGGCTGGCCAGGATAGTCGACCCTCACTATTCTCATAAGGTAACAGTGAGGAGCACAAAGAACCAACCCCCTCAGGTTTGGAAATTATGAATGGCTGGCTTGGCTGTACAGTTGTAGTTGGACGTCTTATTATTATTATTATTAGAAGTGCTCACTTATGAGAAAAACATGAGAAAAAGACATATAAGCTGGAGTTTTAGAGTAATCAACTACACATGTACAAACTTTTATGGCCATAACCTAATTACTCTTGCTCATCTTTATTGGGGCATGCAAATGTAGACAATGGTGCCAACTTTAACAATTTTGACTAGGGGCCAATAAATTCCTGTGATGTGTGTTATTCCTGTGTTATTCTCTTTTGGTTCATGCTCTCTTCACAAATTTTATCTTAATTTTATAAATCCATAGTCTTCAGAAGACAAGCCAGCATAAAGGTACTTGTTTTACAAAAAGTAATCATACTATAAAAATTAAAGTCAGTTAAGCTGATAAAGTTAGGAGGATGTTTCACTCTCCTCATTGCTCTGACACAGTGTGGGTTGTTGGAAATGGAAGAATTTTAGGAGAGTATTGTTGTATTAAACATCATCTCTGTGAAGAGATTGCAACTCTTAAACCCTGGCCCGGTGTGGTTATCAGACAGCAGTGCACTAACCCTTGTCCTTGTGTAGCAAAGGATACATTACAGGATGGGATACTGTTGCAAAAGAATCCTCCTATAGAGAATCAGTGAGCTTTGGCACATGTTTTTGTCCGCCTCACGATTGAAACACAGAATAATTGATCTGTCAGTCTGCTGTTCTTTCAGTGTCTAATCTCAGGTGACATCTTTGACATCACTGGTCTGATTCATCTTTTGAAAAGTATACTGGCTGGCTAAATGCAGCCAAAATTTCAATATCTCAAACTTTGAAAAAAGTGTGTAATTGCTACACTTCTTAGGCAGAGTCTACATGTTGCGATTGTTGTACAGCCAAGCTGTCTTTTTTTCTATGATTGGTTTCTCCGATTACACACCCTCATGTCTGATGTTGCCGACCTGTGTCTTTTACAATAGGCCTCTCCAGCTCAAACCCTGCTATTACTGTAACATCTTCTGCCCAAACCTGGTATCAAGTTTTGTGCTAATCAAACCCTGTAATTAGCCTGTCCATTGTAGGTGAGGGCTTCTGAGAGATTAATGTGACAGTTTACTGCTCCATTGTGCTGCTTTATTATGCATGAAGATCCCACAGAAATACTGTTACACTAGCAGGGTTGTGTGTGTGTGTGTGTGTGTGTGTGTGTGTGTGTGTGTGTGTGTGTGTGTGTGTGTGTGTGTGTGTGTGTGTGTGTGTATGTGTGTGTGTGTTTGTATGTTTGTGGGTCTGTGCATGTGGAGAGGAACTCTTGTGAAAGGCGAGCTTTGTCAGCCCAGAACACGGGACTGGAGACCAGCTGGGTGCAGACACAGGGGGTGCATTTGGAGGGGAGAAGAAGGGTGGAGGGAATGACGGGAGAAGGAGGAGGCAAAAAAAACAGATGAGGAGCAAGGGTGAGAAATACTGAGTCATAAAAGGGTGATGAAAAGAAAGGTGAAGAGTAGAAAGGGAGAAAAAGAGGGAGGGTGAGCAAAAGTGCAAAGAGGAAAAACAAGGAACGTGGGACAAATAAAAAGATCAAAAAATGGGAGAAATTTGGGCATGCAAGACGGCAGAAACCCTAGATAGATAGATAGATAGATAGATAGATAGATAGATAGATAGATAGATAGATAGATAGATAGATAGATAGATAGATAGATATATAGATAGATAGATAGATAGATAGATAGATAGAATTACTCTGATTTGTTTACTGGGAGTTAGTTGGGAGTCTGTCCCATCGGATGTGTCTGTTCGCAGCAGAACATCAGTTTGTCACTCTTCATTAGCATAAAATTGCATTACCAGATTTATGTGTGTGCGCTAGTGTGTATGATGATGTGTGTGTAAGATGATGCTGGGCTATTTGTGATGCAGTGTTGACACCAAAGCAGATGCCTGCAGTGAATGTGAAAGCATCCTCTCTTTTATTTAATTATGCAGAGCCAACGCGCTGCTTTTTCAAACCTTCTGTAGTAATGGATGACAGCAGTTCAGACTTCAGCTGTGATGGAGATTCATAAATAGTATTAACTTTTTTATTGGGCTATAAAACAAGACTGGTGGCTCATTTATGCTGCACTCAAACAGAGTTCTTTCATCACAGTCGACCTTCAGGTTTTATATTGTGTCATGTTTGACGGAAAAATTGGCCGGTGTAGATTTCTAGTTCTCACCACTGAATGATCTGCCCTCTTTTCAATTAGCTATAATTGCTTCAAAAAAGTCTTGTTTTGCCTTAAATCTTTAATTAGAGCTTCTGCAGTACCTTACATGGTCAGTGTATTATCACAGCTGTTTTGTGAGCACACTGTGACTCTGCAGTGAATTGAGATGAGGCTGTTGTATGAGCTGTCTAGAAGTGTGCTTCTGACAACCCAGACAAACATTTACTCAGGTGAAAGGAGATGACAGAGAGGTTGAGAGGAGAGAGGAGGAAAACAGAGGCAGAGAAAACATTTGTGATGTTGTTTAGAGTCTACATCAGTAGGAACTTAGTGTTTCTGTTGTGAGTGTGCATGTGTGAATGTCACCTGCTGATGCAGTGCTGGATCCGCCCAGAAATTATTCATGACCTGGATGAAGGACGGAGAGACAGAGGGGGAGGAAAGGTGAATAAGGAGAGGAAAAAGTAAGTGAAAAGAAAGGATGTAAGGAAATGAGGTGAGGAGGACAAACAGAAAGATACAGTGAGGATTGACAGGTGAAAATTAACTGAGTGGAATGAAGGAGGGATGACACATGTGAGAATGAAGGTGAGGTAAACAGAGGTGGCGAAAAGAGAGGGAGAGAAAGAGCGTGTGAGAGAGAAAGAGTGTGAAGAAAAGAGGAAGGGTAGCGGAAAGAGAAGCACCAAGGTGAGGAGTTTAGATTAAGGTAAACGGATGGAGAGGAGAGTAGGAAGTGGTGACAGGGAAGAAAGTCGAGAGGAAGGAAGAGGAAGGCAGAGAGGAATGAAGGCAGCCAACAAACCTTTTATATTGGTGAGCAGCTGTGACACAAAAGTCTGCACAGTGTGTAGTTTAAATATAGCTACAAAAATGAAATCGAAGACCACATCTGTGCAAGACCTAAATATGTTTCTTTTTCTGTTCAAAACAGTTTCCAAAGATGTTCTATGATGAACTTTTATCATCAAATAACAATAACAACCTGAAAATGTTGATATGAAACATGCCCACTCCTCGAAAGTCACTGTCATAGGCTTGTCAGGAAGTAGAAAGGAGAGCTCAGATGATCAGGAAGTAGGAGCTAGACAGACAGACAGACGTAGAAGACAAGGTGAGTGTATGTTTGTCAGACCATCAATGAGCACTCAGCATCAGTTTCTGCTCCGTCATCTCCTGGCACACAGAGGGAGGGCATGAAGGGGAAGGTGCAGCGAAGGCAGAGTGGGCCTGGAGAGGGAGGGAGTACAGAGCATAAAAGAATGAGGTAAAGGACACGTGATGAAGAGGTGAAGAGGAGAGGAAAGCAGAGGTGGCACAAGAGGAGCATAGGTGAAAAAAGAGAAGAGAGAAGAGAAACAATAAGGCTGAAGAGCTGTCAAAGTGTTCTCAATTCATTGCCTTTTATTCACAGCTAGTCAATAGTGCTGTGGATCTGGGCAACTCGTTCAACACATTGTATTCTAGGAGTAATGTAACTCCTAAAAAAAAGCTGGCCCAGTCATTTCGACATGTAAAAAACATTTTGGCCAGGCTGACTTCTATGTAGGGGAATTGATGTATTACTGGGAACATTGGCGTGTGTGGCCTACAATGCATAAAGCCCCTGAGTCATGCCCTAAACCTGCTGATTGAAATACAGTTCACTATCTTTTTATTTACCATCTTCGAAGATGAAGAGGTAACTCTCTTTTCAGCTCTCAAGTAAAATATGAACCTATTTTGGGTCAGACCTAAACAGAGGGCCTATGTAGTGTAATGTTATGCTGGTGTTACAGGTGCCTCAAGATCATTTTAATCTAACTAGCTCACAGAGTAATTTCTGTCATCCATCTTGAGTATGAAAACTCATCTGGGCCAGGTTAGATCCAGTCCTGTCTATATAGCATAAGCCTAAATAGAACAGTTATGCAGGAAGGGCCGGACAGAGCCAATGGTGAGATGGGAAAAGAAAACAATGGACTTTAGGAGAGGGATGATGGGAGAACAGAAGGGGAGAAAAGCATGAGGGAGGGGTAGGAGATGGGGCTTAGAGGCAGATCCAACACTCCAACAAGGACCTCCTGCCTCATTTTCCAACACAAAAAGTAAACGAAAATAGTATGCCAATAATGAAAAGTGAATGAATTATAACCATATTTTGTTATGAAGTCTATTATGACTGCTGTTTAAGCCTAGGGTAGTAAGTGAGATCAGGAGAGATACAAGGTTATCATGTAGTAAGGTGGAGTGATATGTAATAGGCAATGAGAGTGTTAATGATAGCAATAGGCAAAAGCATCTCATTATAAAAAAATCTGGTTTGTGTATGAATATGCTTGCCTGTGGCTCATCTCCATGCACGGCATCATCGGTGTTATTCACAAGGTGAACGTTTACAAAAGTAAAAGGCAGAAGGGAGCCTTGTTGGACCAGAAGACGTGTATTGTTGTACAGCGGAAGCTTAAAAAAAGGTGAGACTCAGTAACTGCAGGTAGAGATTCAGGGGAATATTTTCTGCTGGAGAGTGTGTCCTGAAGCCAGTTTCCATCATACAGCTGACATAACATGATGAAGTCTTTGTGGGTGTCAGTCAAAATATCCCATGTGAGCTCAAGCTTGCTTTTTGTAGCTGACATTATCGACTTCACAATGCTTCCACTCCAGCAAAAATGGCTGGCAGCACGCTGCCTGCTGGACTGGGATGGGAATTTTGAACACCTCATACACATACAAGTGCATGCAGCCGTATGGTAACAGCTAGCAAGCCAATCTGTTGCATGCTCATCACTAAGATAACCACAGTATATCTTCTGTTGCTTTAACTTACCACTTTCTCTCTCTCCCATTTTTCTCTCATTCATCTCTTCGCCTCCTCCTCCAGGGCTATCTGTCCGAGGGTCTCGTAACTAAGTGGTATTGTTCCCCCCGTCTGCTCCTGTCCCCCAACAACTACACCAAGGCCATTGACATGTGGGCCGCAGGCTGCATACTGGTTGAGATGCTCACTGGACGCATGCTGTTTGCAGGTACCTCTGCTGGTTTGTTCACCATGACCTTGACATCCTACAGAAACATTATGATATTGCCTACTTTTAATTTGATGACATCATAAAATATAATCATATCATTAGTATTCAGCTGAAATATATTATTACTGAACTGACTGTCTGACTGTGTTTTGACTCCCACAAAGGAGAGTGCATGTAAAAATAACATAAAAAATGAATAATGAAATTTCATTTTCACAGCCTTTAGGGTTATATGAAAATAAAGATAGACATGCTAAGTTTTTAAGGATGAACTTAGTACTCTTGCATGTACATCTTAGCACCATTAAGATGTAGCCGAAACAAGATAGAACACTGAAATCAGGCTTCTTTGACTAGCTTTTTAAAAGTTCCTTCTAGCAGGATCAAAAAAGATCTTTAAAGGCTGTATCATAGTAGAAAAGTGAGAGCTAAGGAGAGATTTTCTTTCCAGTGTCCTCCACCAAAGACGCTTTATTCCTTTTCTTCAGGCTACTTCTTTGCCTGACCAGAATAACAATGATGATAGTGAAATTCTCACTGTCTGAAGCAGATGTAGTTCCTCATGACAGGCTGATTTGACCTCCACCAGCCTTCCACACCACAGGGGAGATGGTGCCACAAACTCAAGAGCTTCATCTGTTCCTTGGTGTTCCTCTGCTAGATTTTCACACATCAAGTGTTAAAGATGTTTGCCTTTCATTTCACTTAACCATCACAGTTTACACAGCACAATATGTTTTTGTTTACCAGAGAGGAAGCAGTGCACTCTCATCCAAATACACTACAACTGCTGGCTTATTTCTTAGTGGTCAATGTGCTGATATAGCACCACCTGCTGGTGTCCATCAGTTAAAGGGCAAATAGTCATTGTATGACATGGGTGGAAAAATATTGCTGCACTGCTCTTTTTGGGCCGAAAACTTCAAGCATGTTGCACTTCAGTTTACACCACAGTCAGTGACCTCACATTAGTTTTTCTCCATCAGTTTTCAAGGAGAGAGTGCACTTTGGGGACTTTTCCCAGGGTTGAGCTTGATCGCATCTGACTCCTTCCTGGTTGTGTACGACCCCCAACAAACTCAGGTCGATGCCAAAGCTAATAGAGCTTTAACTCTAGGACTGGGCCATGTTGGGGTAAATGTCTGGCAATATTAGAAGGATATTAGAAGGATGTGGCATTTTTACTCAACATCCAAAGAAGTGCTTTCCAACAGGTTGTACTGTGGACACAAAATTCCCTGGTGCACACAATACTGTTAACTGCTGTGGAATCATAATGTGGGTGTGACCAGAAAAACAACATGCCTGAAATTTCAACCTTCCCTTTTATCATCTTATCTGCATTGACGCTTCTTACCTCACCATTTCTTTCGCTCTCACACCTCCTAGTAATTCCTGTTTCACTCTAATTGGCCACCTTTTTTTTCTGCTTATGTAACTGATCCTCTGTCTCGTCTCTGCTTGTCTCTGATTGGCCGGTCCCCTTTGCAGGAGCTCATGAGCTGGAGCAGATGCAGCTGATTCTCGACTCAGTGCCGGTGCTGAGAGAGGAGGACAGGCAGGACCTGCTACAGGTGACGCCTCAGTCGCTGCTGCAAGTCATATGTCTGCAAGCTGATAGTTTAAATATGGAACAGGAATGTTGCTTTCAACTAGAATTTTCTTTATAATAGGGATTCATCCAGAAGGGCGCCTTGAATACCCAAAAAAAATGTAAAAAAAAAAAAAAAAACGCAACAGAATTATGCACACGTCTTAACTCCACTGTCATCCTTTCCCAGGTGATGCCTTCATATATCAGTCATGGATGGAGAGTCAAGAAACCCTTCTCTGTCTTGCTGCCTGAAGTGGATTCTCAGGGTGAGCAGAGAGAACTGAGTGGTTGGAAGAAGATAAAGGTCAAGCAGTATGAGACTGGGGACAAACAAGAGTAATAGAAGATTTGAGGAGGAAGAAATATACAGAAAACAGCAGTTTCTCAGGGCTGTGAAGGTTGGATAGTAGGGAGGAGAAGTTCAGAGGTCTAACACCTATAATTTAGCCCTGAGACACAATAATTTTAAAGAGAACACACTACATGGTCACTACATTTTATTCCTCCTCCTCTTTCTCCCTCACTCATTCCCTCTTCCTCTACCCTCAGCTGTGGACTTCCTTGAGCGTATCTTGACCTTTAACCCCATGGATCGGCTGACAGCTGAAGCAGCGCTGACCCACCCCTTCCTCCAGCAATACTCCTGTCCAGCAGATGAGCCCACCTCCTTGCATCCCTTCCACATCGAGGACGAACTGGAGGACAGCCTCATCACCGAGCAGAGCCTCAGCAACAGCAACAGTCAGGCCTCCAGCATCCACTGGGACAGGTGTGTAGATTTACCTTTGTAGACACTGGTGGGGAAGGATGATTTTGTCTGAATTTTATATTGTGTCAATTTGCCATTGCTACTGGAGTTTGTCTAATTAATAGACCTCTGTTCCACATTATCAACTGTCAAAAAGTCTGTTCTAAGTTGTTGATTCCTCATCAGATGAACCAGAAACCACTTGTATCCAAAACCTAACCCAGCAACACTGCTTTTGCCAGTTTATACACTGGATATATTTGGTGTGACACTGAATATTTGCCTGTGATTTGAGGCTAATCCACAGTCGCAACGGAATTGTTGTCGCACAGTGTAGTTCAGCTACAATGTGGGCAGAAATTTCTATGGTTGTAGACCTGCTAACCTGTGTTTCACAAATGGATTTAGAATACTTTAGCATATACTAACATACTTCTGACTAACAAAATTAATTCAAGCTCCTATCTAACACTGAGGTTTGACTGCTCAGGAGCTTTTTAAGGAAACTCACTGAGCTTCTAGAATATTTTTGAACACTTTACTGCATTTCATTTAATCCACCAACCATTTGTCCACAAGTCTGACTTAGATTTTAATTTTAATCCTAGTTTTTGCACTGAAAAAATGGTCCAAGTCAAAGTGTTGGAACAAAAATTCTGGCAAAGCATAATGAGAAACTACCAGTTTACTTACTATAAATAAGCACATCAGACTCAATATGCTGCACAGTGAAGTTAATAGAAATCCTTCATTACTTCCTCTCTGCAGGTATGAGAACAGTTTATCAACAGATGTGTGCTGGCAGCAGTCAGGCGGGATGTGCCGCTGCATGCCCCATGGTCGCATTACGTCTGACCTGGGAGACACGACAGAGGAAGAGGAGGTGCAGAGAGACCCCCGAGCCAGTTCCACTTCACTGTTAGAGGAGGCTCAGGTTTTTCTTATTTTTCTTATTTTTCTGTCATTTTCCCCCATACTGACTGATTTGTACTTGGGTGTAACTATTATATTATTTTATTGAAATGCACAGAGAGTCGTAATGAAGCTAATTACTGACCCATGAGTGTTTTATTTGTTTCACCACCTGCTATTTGGCAAAATGAAAATTTCCCCATACAGGAAATTGTTTGTGGTTGCGACATCCAGTCTGGTGGTAAACACTATAAATGCACTTGCCATTGTGTAGTGTTGCCATCACTCTTTTATTTATAGTGTCTTGAGGTTTAGGTGGTCAATCACACATACGATATTTAGTAACAAACTAGAATGAGTCAAAAATAGTTGAACACACAACTAGAATTAATCCTTCACTTTGCTTTCTTCCCCATTTATCAATCTCCCCATCTTCCTAACCAACTGCTGCCCCCATCCCGCCTGTCTTATATAGGTTGACCCACGCAAATATTCCCACAGCAGCTCAGCTGAGCGCTTCCTGGAAAACTCTCACTCGTCTCTGGAACGAGTCTGTGGTTTGGGATATGGGGACCTGGATTGTGGCCGCTCCTGTGACTACAAAGTGGGCTCTCCTTCATATCTGGATAAAATTGCCTGGAGGGAGGGCAAGCCTCAACACTACTCAGAGCCTAAGCTAATCCTGGATCTGTCTCATTGGAAGCGTAACACTAACATCCTTCCTGTGCCTGCTGAGCCTATTGGAAGCAGTGTGGAGGACCTGGGAGAGATGAAAGTGGAGGAAGCAGAAGAGGAGGAGACAGGGGATTTATTCCAGGAGATCTCTCGCTGGGTGAAGAGCACTCAGTCTCGTCTGCACTCACCCAGTCCCAGTCCCTCTTTAGAGCCACGTTCACCCTCCTGCTACACCTCCTCTCCCCCTCTTCCTCTCTCCCCGACTGACCTCCCAGCCCCAGTCTTCCACTACACAGAAGTTGTGCAGCAACCATCAGCCGAATATGATGAATACAGACTCAGCCCACTTCCACCTGTTACATCTTCCTCTAATTCCCTTCCCTCACTTCTCCCCTCATCTCCCACCTCTCCACTTCCTCCTCATTCACCTCGAGCAGTTTCTCCCCCCACCTTGCCACTTTTTCATCCCCCAGAATCTCAGCCCCTTTCCTCTACTTCCTCTATTTCTCAGCCAGTAAATGATGACTCCTTGGAGTCACTTCCTGTCAAGCAAAAAGACCGGCTTTTCGACCTGGATGTGTTCATATCCCGAGCACTGAAACTGTGCAGGCAGAATAAAGAGAAAGCAGACGGGAAGAGAGGTAAAGAGGGAGGGTGGAGGGAAGAAAGCAAACAGCCAAACATTAACCGAAAGGTGCCCCGGCTTCCAGAGCACAGGACCCCACCACCACAGACACCTAACTCTTGATGTTGACTTTCAGCTTCGGGGCCCACAACATTATAGCATCAATATTGGTAGCACTTCCAAATGCTCATAGTGCTTTACATAAAGGGGGTGTCCATGGCTGAATATGCTGCTTAAACATTAGACGTTGGTGTTAGCAGCTGTTGTCTTTTGGTACATGCCACACACGGTGACTAAAACCAGCCACTTAAGCAATCCTGCAGCTTCTACCCTCTCAGGTAAGAAGAGGTCAAAGAGCATCTGGGTTAAATATAAATAACCATGCTTAGCACTGCAAATATCAAGGATTTGTTCTACGTGAGAATATTTACAAATAATCAGCTAATTAAAGATTGTGGTATTTGTGATTTGCTATCTTTTGTCAAGTTAAAGATGGGTCAAACTTTGACTTGATAGCAACTTATTCTGTGACGCAAGCAGTTGCAAATGGAACAGTCAGTCTGTTAAAAAAGAGTTAGTCCAGGATACTGATAACAGCAACCTACTGGAGTGGGATCACTTGGTTTGTTTTTGAGTTAATTTGTTTTCTGCTGCGTGTCAGTCATTCAGTCATTTCTTAAAATGTCAGACTGTCTTCCAAAGGTGATGTTCACCAAATAATGATTGTGACAGGGGAAATGCTTCTTCCAAGTTTCTCTGAATGTATAAACTGAAAAATAATCAGTCAAATTATGCTACATGGTAAACCATAAGGAATTTATTTGTTGCTGTTTTAACTCTCCCATGGTGACATAAAGAGCTGTCACTGGTAAATGCCTATAAACTTGTATAAAACTGTTATATTTAATTCTATAGTATATTTCTCAAGACTGTTGTCTTGATATTCTACTGTCTAAAATATTCTTGTTTTCTTAGTTGAATGCTAGAGCACAATTTTATGTTAACTTGGAGTGAGTTGTATTTTGTTTAAATGTGGAATGCTAATTTATGACTATTCAGCAAACTTCGCTCTAGCTCCTATCATAAATAGTTTCCTATCCTGTCTGCCTGATGCACCAAACAAGGGTCATCATCTGCTGTACACTTACTGAAAATTTACTACCCTCTCTGTACTAGACAGCCCGATATCCATCACCGTTTTTCTCACTTAAAAATTAACCACAGAAAGCTCTAATGCAAACAAACATAGCCTATATTTTGGAGAATGTAGATCCTTTACAGCCTTTATAGGAAATAATTTGTACTGAAAACTTCTCAGTGCTGCCCAGTAACCATAGTGATATATGGAAGAGAAAATGAATAAAGCATATATATTTTGAAATACTTTTCTATTCAGCATGATAGACAGTAGACCCTCAGAATGTTATTTATTCTGGCATCTGATGAACCCCCCCCCCCCAAAAAAAAGTCATTATCAATTCAAGGCTGTTGGCTTGTGTCTCATACTTTCTCAATCAAGTGCATCTGACATTCACTTCACTTGTCAAACTAAAAAGCTAATGTTGAGCATATGGAAATGGCATTTAAGTTATTCTGCTGAGGTGCCAAAAAGAAATTCAGTTAAATCCATGTGCATCTCATTCTGTAGCCAGAGGAAATTAGCGTCCACCACACCTGGTGTCAATGAAGTGTAGCTGTATACTTTGTGCACATACAGCCCATAGACTAAGTCTGTGAGCTGTACATACACAACGGCACAGCTATTCGGAATGTCAGAGGCACAATACTGAGATGTATAAAAAAACATAGCCAACATAGCCCCCCCCCCCCTCCCGAAATAAGACATGTTTTATCTGTTCAGTGATCTTTCAGTCCAGCATCTCATACCCATTCTGACTAGACCAACCTCCAGTCAGTTAGCAACAAGTCTTTCATACCCTCTTAAATATAAACTTCAGTCCATAGAAGCCTAGAAGCCATGCAAGCTACACACAGAACAGTATCCCTTTGTGTGCAGTACTCATAAGGATAAAGCTAAAAAAGACAAAACATAAATGTTTTATTATCTTTTTTCAAACAGCTGTACACATAACATTACTCTGAAAAGACTGGCTTTCATAATATCTGCATCTTTTATAAACACTGTAGCCAACATACACAGGTTGTGAGCAGGTCATCATTTGCACAACAAAGTATAACAATGACTTCCAAAGGATCGAGCCATATGTGAGAACAGTACAACCTACTGGATGGTACAGCAAAGGCAGGTATGGTTTTTTATATTCACAATAGACATGAAGCACATTTAGAGTCACTAGCACATTCAGAAATACAGGTTTTCCTCAGTGACTACTGAAAGTCTACCACTGTCAATGCTCATTTTAAAGTGTTAACCATACCTGGGTTGGATTGCTGGATTAACTGACAGAAGTGTTCAAGTCAATAAAAAAGTGCAAACTGTCCATTTTCTGGTCCAGAGCCATTTATCTATGTATGGCAATAGATAGAAGCTGTGCTGTACTTCAACTAATTCAAAAGGGTTTCAACCTGTACAAGTATGTTCAAATTTTGCATTATAGTTTCCTCTGCAGGTAACCTAAGCCAGCAATAACATCATTGATGTATAACACAAACATACTGTAACACATGTGGTTACTGAGCCAGTTCTTTGAAGTGGGTGAAGTATTGTAGAAAATGTGCCTCTGTATACCTCAATGGTTCGAGCTTGCTGAATGTAACATATCCTCTCCCCTCTGCATGGCTTTCACTACTATTCAACTTGCTTAAACTTTGTTGTTTTCATTATGTGTCACCTTGTGAAACAGTCATAATTTGGGCTCTTTTGGGCTCTTATTTATTTTGTATTCATGCTTCACAAAGGCCCAAGCTTCTCATTTTGAAAAGGTTTTTAAATGCTCAGTATTGTTTTATGGTATCTCTTTTTGCAGTTTCTGTTTTTGCTGGACAATTAATAAAACAATACTTAAACTGTTGTTGGACCTTATATTTTCTGTGGTCCTGTTGTAATACCAATTAAATATTAAAGAAAGATCACTGGAATTAGGGACAAGTAGATAATAAAAATACAATAAAACGTGGTCTAGTTACAATGTATCTGCATCATCATCAGTGTACAAAATTCAGCACCCTGCTTTCATTCCCTCAGTCCGCAACGTGACTGTTTACTGTCGCCATGGGAACAGGAGGCGGTTTAGTAGTTAACGTTAGCTTAGCCTATTATCAATGAACATTAAAATTGCAATACGTCATATCTTAACAAAACAAATGTCAACACCAACAGCCACACTATCAAAGATCTTAACCAGGTCCTGTCGCTTCATATCTTACAACCGTTAAAATAGTGCATGTTACTTGGCGCCGATAACAACATTTAGAAGACCGCGTCCTTCTACCAGATACAGTCTTCGCTTATACCAAAGAAGCTCTGTTTCTGCTTCCACTTTGAAAAGCGGAAATGGCGTCATCAGCAGATGATCACGTGTTTTCCAGAAGCCGAGTGGTAAGTCGATTTTGGTTTAGACCGGGTTCAGACTGGCGAAATGTTTGTTTCAAAACTCCGTGTGTAAAATTTAAATCCACAAACGTAGAATTCAGAATACAGATTACACATTTACGCACGGATTGTCGATCTGTTCACACAAATAATATTTAAACAAATCTACCTGCATACAAAAGAGTCTCATTTAACTAAAAAAAAAAACACACACTCAAATCGAGATAACCTTCTTTTATAGTCATTACGACAAAGTGGCTTCCCTCCAAAATTCTTGCGCATGTGGCAGTCTTTACGGTTACCAGGGAGGAAATCCCAGCATGTGATTGGATGAGCGGCCAAGTTCTTCTACACTGCGTGGGTCTCTTCTTCTCACCACCACTCTGCTGCATCTGTGGCTGCTGTCAAGGGACACACCAAGCGGTCTGGTCATAGTACTTATACAGCAAACTCCACGAGAAATATGCTTAAGAGACAGTGACCTTGCCAACGGAAGGAAACGCATTTTTATAAATTTCAAGAGCAGGTAAGCCGAGCTGTTATTCTCTTAAAAAAAAGAAAGTCTGTGCCATTTAACAAGTTCCCGTTTCTCAGCCGAGAATCAGCGAGCAAGGAAGGGGAGGTCTGAATGAATGACAGCATGTAAGTCATCAGGCATTAAAAGTGTTTCCTTTTGAATTGCTGTGCCAGTTTAACAAACTGTTACAAACACTGGGTCTGTGGGCTATTCTGTCGTTCACTGTTCGCTGAAACCGGGGCTCAAATAACGACACAGCTTGGATTGTTTTAACGTTTGCTCTGAGCTAGCCAAATGCTAGCTTGCACCAGTTGTTAGCTGCTTTTTGTTTGTGGCTGTGTATGAGATTGCTAGGCTAACTCATAAGCTTACCACTGCAGAGTTGCAGTTACAGTTTTTTGACATGCCCATCAGAACCATTCCTTCCCTCCACTTCCATCTCCAAACACAAGATGGAAGCTTTAAGGCAAGAGGTATTGTCATTCATTTTATTAGGCAAATAATATTAAATCATAAAGACATAAGTGATAAAACCAAATATTTTACTGTCCCTACTTGGGTTATCATCACTTATACGGCATACACAGCACAGCAGCAGACAAATAACAAACATCTTGCACAGATTCTTCACTAAATGATCAGTTCAAACGTGAATCGATGTCAGCTTTTGAATCCATCAACGTGGAACAACCTGTCATTGCAGCCAGCTGTGTGGTATGTCTACAAAGTCTTGAGTCTTTGAGAGGAAAAAGAGAATAATAGCACCTGTCAGTAAAGTCACACCTACCTTTGTAGTAACTATGCTTAATCACTGTTTATCCATTTGAAGTAATATAATTATGCTAACACTTTATACAGTAGTTTAAATTACTTTGGCTTCATACCATTGTACTTTGATCCCAGTAAATTCCACCTCCTAAGGCCATAAAAAGTTTAAACATGAAAGAATATGTGTGGGTGTGATTGCTTGTCAAGACAGGATGCATAGTCTGTCAGCAGGTCATTTCCTGTGAAATCTTTTGTTATTACATTATGCCTGCTTCAGTCAATACAGTCATTGCTTGCGCACATTTTTTCTATGTTAAGAGTACT